TCAAAAGTGTTGGTACGTTCTATACCCTACCTCTCATGGTATTGGTGATGCTAACTTCATGATAGACATTGTGTTTACCATTCTCTATTCGCTTTTATTACTGAACACAGATCTCCACATCGCAGATCTCCCACAATCCCAGAAGATGACTCGTGGTCAATTCATCAAGAACACCATGCTGAGTATTCGTAGGATTGTTGCGGAGTCTGCTGCGAATACAGATACAAAGCTTATTCACTATAATACTATGCCATCACGCTCACAGACTCCTTATCGCCAATCATTCTCGGCACAACCAGATGATCCTGGGCTTCCTAACGCAGCCACATTTCCATTGACGAGGGAGAGGGCGTATAGTGGCCCGAGTGGCACTGGAAGAGGGTCGATTGACTTTGGAAGAGCGAATAGGAACTCAAGTAAACCCAACGGAATCGGAGGTCTTAGCCCGAAAGGAGATGAAATAGTAACAGAAAAGATGGATTACGATATGGATGGGGGACTGGCTCTTGTCAAGACTTCGCTCGGTGGTGGGATTAAGGTCTGGGAAACTCAGGTGGAGATTGTGTTAAAGGATTTCTACCAGTCAGTAAAAGCAACTGCACTACCACTCCATGGTGCGCCGGAAAAGGTGGAAGTTACACATTCTACTACTCTTTCTGTATTCGGATCAGGAATGCTGCGGAGATCACCAAGTACTGTCAGCAGAGCGCCATCAGAACTCAGCGTTTCAAACCGTAACCGGGATAGTAAGTTGGGAACTAAATGGACTGCAAAAAATAGATCAAGGCCAAGACTCTACAATGGATCATATGCTGCGTCTAGCAGAACATCCCTCGAGGATCGATCAATGTGGAGCCCTTCTGCATCTAGTACTTGGAGTAAATATTCACTTGATAAGACGCAAACGTCGATGTCTGTAGATTCTTTGGGCTCTGCGTTTACACATGGTGATTACCAGCAATCCATTGGTTTCGCAAATGCTCTTAGCCATGCTATCATTCGGGAGGAGGCAGCCAGTGGACACTCGGCCGATGACGGGGGATCAACACTACTCGAATATGACGAACTGGAACTTTCAGGGGCTCCATGGGCGAAAGAAGGAATGCTTAAACATAAGCACCACCTTGAAGGTGTCGACAAAAAGGCAAAGAACCGGGCGTGGACCGAATGTTTTGCAGTCATTGAGAAAGGCTGGATGAAATTATTTCTGTTCGGCAGCAGCCAACATAAGGGCGGGAAAAACAACCCGGTTTTGGGCGTAGTCGGTGGAGGGAATTGGACAGAAAATGCAGAGTCAATTGGCACTTTTATGTTGAGACAGACAATTGCATCAGCGCTCCCATCACCAGGGTATTCCAAGAGTAAACCAAATGTGTGGGCACTATCGTTACCATCTGGTGCTGTGCACTTCTTTGAAGTTGGAACTGCGGAGATTGTAAGGGAGTTTGTGACAACAGCAAACTACTGGGCCGCAAGACTCTCCAAAGAACCCCTAGTTGGCGGTGTCAGTAACGTCGAATACGGTTGGAGTGAAAATGCCCTTGGTGATTATATGGATAGTGGGAGTCCTCCTTCGAGTAATCACGGCGAGCCCAGACCCAGTTTACAAGTTTCGATCAGATCGAGTATTGACCATACTTCGATGGTGAAAGCTAAATTACCCGGGGATAAAATGAATATCACCGATTGGGCACCACCAACACAAAGCATGGTTGCTAGCTCCTTAAAAGAAGCAGATCAGTTAAAGGCTTTGGAGACTTATGTGAAGAATATCGAGTCGGAATTGACAAAGCATAATGAGTTAAGACCGCCTATGCGGATTGCTGTATGTTTATATACCTTACCCGCTGTAAGTGATAAGCGTTTTGCTAATTTTTTTCTTTCAATTTTAGTTTTCACCTCGTCATCCGAATTCAGCAAAGGCGATGGCTAACTGGGAGAAGAAGTCTTCCTACCTGCTCCATGAGATCATCAAGTTTAGAACATACATCGAATGCCTGAATTCAGCCAGTATCTTAAGAGATAGAATCAGAGCTGGCGAAGCCGAGATCGGTGAAACTATGGGCGATATGTCTGATATTGAGGCTCCCCATGGAGCAAATATTCCAATTTATTCTGCTTAAGGGGACCGGCGTTCTAGGAAGATATCACTGCTTTTTTTTTTTCATATTTATAACCTACAGTACTTTCCCCCTTGCCATTTTCGTAGGGGAGGTGTTTATTTATAGCTCTTCTTTCGCCTAATTATCTTATTTCGTCCTGTGTATTTCTTATTTTCTATTTGGCTCTTGTCTGGGTTTATCAGCGCTCAGTACTGGGGCTTTCATCATGACTTTTACGATGACGTGTTTTTAAACCTCATATATTATTACTTAAACTGGGACATTTCTTTTGTTTTAAAATGGCGGAGCTGGCAGGATCCGGGAGTGGTTTCTTTGGGAGGTTCGCAGATTTTTCTTATATTTCTCGGTGGGGTGGGTATGTTGGATTCCATTTTCAGGGTGTTCCCTTTTCCTTTTCTTTCTTTCATTACATAGTATTGGGAAGTGGGGTAAGATATCTATATTCAGATGTCTTCTAATATGTTAATCTATATCAGATATCCTTTTCATCGATCTTTTGTGGCAATCCGGCCATCGTTGTAAATCGAATTTAAGAATAATAAGTGAAGCCCGGGGTAGAGAGTGTCTCTAGTCTTTAAGTTAGAAGTACAGCCATCCCGCAAAAGTGTTCGTAATTAATCTTCCTGTGAACTGCAAGTAGCGAAGGCCTCATATTCAAGAATATTGCGAATCAGGAACACCTTGCCAGAATGCTCATATTTTAGTATGGTGCTACTGTATACTTTATAAATGGAATGTGGCCTCCGGCCGCAAATTGTGGTTGTCAACCTCACCATCTTTGGATAGATTTGCCTTATCATCCGGCATAGGTCTTTAGGACATGTAGTGCGTCCAGTCCATAGTCTATTCCGAGGTGAATAATAGAAACGGGTCCAGTCTGATCGTATAAGCACTACACTATCTATTGCTGGTTTGGATAGTTAAAATCTCTATATATGACATAAGGAATCCTGTAGTTATATCAGTTTTTCCTTCTCAATAAGCTGGCTCACAATCAGGGTCGGGTGCCGCGCAGCGGCACCCGACCCCTCCTCGCTCGCACGAGTTCTTAATATTAATATGTAGTTCACAAGACTATATATCTGCAATTAATTCTACCTGCCAGTGTTTGCCCTTTCGATGTCAGCTAGCTCCATTCCCGGCATTACCGGGTCCTATATTGGGAGCAGTTCTTTGTCTACATATATATATATATGCTTCTATCTGTGGTATGCAGACTATATACTTCAACCAATAGAAATGCTTCGTGATGACAATGAGGAAGCTTATACTGTTTAGATATACAGTACCAAAAGAGGCCTAGGGGATGCGATGGGTGCGTGTACGTACTATAGCGATACGGAATTGTACAGAACTCCCCAATTAAATTACAAGTATAGTCTCGTAGAGCCTTGTCGGAGGTTAGTTTCCTATAATAAGTAATTTCGGATTTTGCCATGTCGTTTATCGCACGATAACTTTCTTTCATCCATTCAGTCCTTGCGGCCCGTCCTGAGATGGTTTGCGAGCTAAACAGCCTTTATTACACCATGTAAGTACATACTTCTTACAGTGATGATTTTCTTTACTTTTCAATCTAGATCAACCTCTAAGATACAAATAGCATTCAAGCCTATCAGTGCCAAATGTATCGAATCGTCACAAAATCATGTGAATTACTAAAGTGCATCATCTATGGGCTCCTTCCGTACCATGGCATCGCTGCACCGGAGGTTCTGGTACATTGAATACATGTAGTGTGACACCTGATTGTAGCTTAATTACATATGTATGTATTATGTGCCAAAATTGATTATTGGAAGGGAAAGTTACAAACCTTGCTCGAAAGTTCGTATCCAGTACATGTAGTTATATATATTTTTCTTTTTCCATTTCTTTTTTTCAGCGTGCTTAATTAAAAACATTCCCATCGATATGTATCCCTTTCCACGAAAATTTTAGAATACAATATATAAAACCTGCTGCAATCATGAATTCCTAATTCACAAGAATCACATTTACACACCACCCCTTGTCATCTCCTGACATCGGCCAGTCAAAGCTAGATCTCTTAGCCAAGTGGGGTGCAAAATAGCAACCAATATCGTCCAAAAGCAACACTAAAAAAGAGTATAAAAAGGAAACTATATAACATGAAAAATACCGATCCAAGAAAAATAAGAAAAAGAAATAGGAAAGATATCGAAAGAAAAACTTGACCGGACCTATAAAAACCCTTCACCTTCTCCCCGAAAGCCTATTTAGATTACACAACATCCCGCAGAAACAGAAAATGAGACAAATTGGTAGAACACAGAAAACTAGAGATAATAGCAAAAAAGCGTTGTGATACAATAAGTGGTTATCAAAAAAGACGGTATGAAGGTTAAACAAGTGAGAATAACATAAAAAGATAGAATCACAAACCCAACTTTTTTTTGTGCAGTTTCCAGACACCCGCCCATACCAAAAAAAAACCTCCCAGATCCACATAGTCCATAAAAGAAAGGAAAAGGAAATATAATAAAAAAATAAACATTCCCCGAATAACCGAAACGCCGTGGAGATTTTATGCATCTCTCTATGACGGTATGTAGGTTGGGGTTGTAGGAACTTTTATGAATATACATCGCAAGGGAAAAGGAATTGAGGGAAAGCACCACCCCGCTTATTCGGGAGCACCCACGTTCTGAACTCGGCTGAGAACTGAACGGGGGTGATTTTCCATCCGTTGTAAAAACAGTCCGGAATAAGGGGATAGAAAAAAAGGAATGAATGAAGAAAAAAAGGGTGAACAAAATGGAGGGGAGGAGCATCAACGTAGAGAATAAAACCTAATCTCTAATCATATTAAAGTCGAACCAAATCAAACTTGGCACCACGAGTTACGGCAAGATATTAACCACCACCGCCGACCAATGATTCTGGTGACATCATTCCGCCATTGCCCTCGTCACCGCCTTCTGATATCTTGGAAAGAGTCCGCTCTAGAGCTGGAGGAGCGTCCTTGACCAGTGCAGTCTTCGTAGACGCAGGAGCCGGGTTTGGCTTTTTCTTTTTCTTGGAATTACCACCATGGCTGTTCGACGGTCGTTTCCGTGGCATTGAGATTTTTCCCGTAGGTGGCAGTCTCGGTTTTGGCGGCTTTTGTTTTCCTTGAAGGTGCTCATCTTCAACAAGGGCCTCTTCGTTGTTGGCGTGAAGCTTTGCGAGAAAGAAGTTTTGGACAAGGCCAATTTGTTTCGTGATGATTTCGTGTGTAACGGGTTCGAAAGGTGGAGGTTGTTTATAGCCATCAGCTGACACAGCAGCACTATTATAATAGCAAACAAGTCAGTGTCTATATAGAAGGAACAAAGTAATGTTAATGTACCTTGCACTGGGATTCTGGAAAGTACTGCGCATCCTCCCTTGAAGTAGATGCAGTGGAACGGAAAGGGAGGAAAGCCCAAACTCCTTGTCTAGGCCCAACTCCTTAAACCCAAAGAAGTCATCACCAATGTCTTCTGCAAAGTCACCACCAACAAACATCTCACTTCCGTCATTAAACATTCTGGAACCATCTCCACCTGTATCTGTAAGAGCCGGACGCTGTGGGTGTGTTAGCAAGGGTACCGTCAAGAATCTCCATAGAATAGTCGATACGTACTAAAAGTTCTGTAAGATGAAATTTCATCCGCTCATGAATACCATTGAGTCTAGACCCTAAACGTTCAACATCGTCTCTGATGTATGCTTCTAAACTTTCAACGTCTGCACCATTTTCGTACAAAGCATGTAAGAGCATTTCCTACGGAAATTGTTAGTACGCTATAACTAAATGTTTCTGGAAGTTGACATTTACCTCCGGTGAAAATTGTCTTTCATGCGATGGCGCTTCAGCGTAGACCATTAAAGTTTTTGAAAGCTTTTGAATGTAATCCGCTGCAATATCTGTCACTGCGTCGATTGCTGTTGGTTGATATTCTTCAAAGCCAGCATGAAAAAATATCTTGCCCACAGATCTCTGTAATGCCGCTCTTGCTACATCGTGACACATTATAGGGCCCTCTTCGGTGACAACGAAGTCTTCTACATCTGCCTCGATGAATTCCTTGGGGTCATATCTTTGAAACTGATTAGAGTACATCTGCAGAGAGTCTATTAGAAGATTTTTTATGTAATGTAGAATTAGAGCCTTGGACTTGCCTGAGTTTGTACCTGCATTTGCTTGATGACCGCGATTTTCGAGCAAAGTTTTCGCGTATCTTGCATCTGCCTGATATTTGCATCCATTCTTTTGCTTAGTTCGGATTTTGGCTGAGTAAATATCCCTTTTGGAGCAAGCCTTATATCTTGGCCTTGAAGATCGACCTCATCACTGTCTCCATGCCAAACAAGTCTCCATGGAAGTTCTGGGACACAAGAAAGAGGGTTGTAGTAATCAGGCAATAGATCTCCCTCATCTTCTCCTTCGGCTGAGTCAACCAACTTTTCATTGACATTGCCTCGAGGCAGACACTCGTCTTCGTTTTCCTGAAGAAATTTGAGATGCCGTTCTTCATTCTTTAAATACCGCCCCATACCGGTTCTTGATCGTAGAAGAGCAGGCTCTTCGGGGTTGAGACGATTTCCACGCAAAAGTTTATGCCGGTCACTCTAACACATCAATTAGAAAAAAATATCGAGTTTACTCAATTCACTATGGACTTACTGCAACTTTTGCTCTGGCCTTTTTAGTCATGGTTTTCCAAGCCTGATACTCCACGTCATTTGAATCGTCATCAACCTTGTCATGGTCAATCTCCATTTGTGACATCGATGTTCCTGAGATACCATTTGGAACCGGTGTCCCTCCCAGAGGTGTGAGAAATCCGTTTTGCATTATGTTTACCTGGCTACTTTCTCCTGGCGGCAGTGACTCGGCCCGGAGGAGATGTACCGTAGGTGGCTTTACTTCAGGCGTTCCTTCTGTTCGGGCCCCCTTCCTAGCCTTTTTTGTCCCGGGAGCTTTCCTACCACGGGATGACATGAGGGGTTCTATCGATAATGTATTAACAAATGTTTTTATCCATGAGAACCAGATTTAGGGCCAGGTGTGAACGAATAGAGAAAAAAAAAAGATTACCATCGTCACTTTCACCTTCGGCGTCCACTTCCATAGTACCGGCCTCTTCCGCCTCAACCTCCGCCCTATCCCTAATAACTATATCCGGAATTAAAGGTATTAGATTTTGTGTGGCTTTCTGCATGCTCTTGGCATGCTTCCTGAGGTAATGCATTGGATCTGCATTATAGGCAAGGCAATTCGCCCATATTAAATTGAGATCATCGACAAACTCTTTCTTGCTTTTGTATTGATGTGTTTTTAGCTTTTTCATGACGGTTCCTAAGTCCATAGGATGTTTGATAACTAAGGAACACGTTGAAAAGTGGTAAGTTAGGGGTACTGTCGTTCAAATGCAGACTGTTGACTTACTGCTAAAGTAATCTGGTGCTTCCCGTTTATTCACTCGGTTCAGAAATGCAGTTGAGTGTTCTGTTAACGCTCTTAATTCAAGCACAACTTTCTCTGCCGCTTCATATAACTCTTCTTGGCCCACTTTGTCTTCATTAGCCCACTTAGACCGGTTTTTCCTAACTTCCGACATCAAGTTCCGTAACTCCATGTCTGACACTTTAACTTTCTCGCGCTTTGCATCGATTCTAGCGATTAAGTGTTTCAATGTTAGGCTTGATGCACCCAAATTCGCACTACTTAATTTTCCAGGGGCATTTGCTTGCGCCGCATTTGCCTCTGCGTTGACCTGTCTATCAGACTCCTCGAGCTTCTGCTGTTCCAACATTGCGTCTCTATCATTTTCCAGTGTGAAGAACATGGTGGATAACGCGCTTCTCGCCGCCTCCTCCGCGGCTTTCCTGTCTGCTTCTAGCTTTTCCCTAGTCGCGGTAGCATTCTTTTTTGCTTCCGCTATGTTCCTCGAGGGCTCACTAGACTGGGAATGTGACGATAAAGCTTTTGCGAGTAAAGGCGAGGGCGCGCTTTTCTTTGGCTCCTCATCTTCGTCGTCATCGTCGAAATCGTAGTCGTCGTCGTCAAGCTGTCGCGCTGGAGGCCGAATATTGTCTGAAACGGAAGATACCGCAGGATTTGTTGGACCAGAAGGATAATTATCGTTGAGCTCCAGTGTTGAAAGGTCCAGTTCTGGAGCAGCGCAGCAAGGACGGTCAGTCCTGAACAAGCTCTGTATTGTTTTCTCATATTGGGTGTATCGCTGCCGGAAGATCGCGGTGATGGAATCCGAGGTTTCCTCCTTTTCCCCCATGTCGATTCCTATATCGATAGAGGCTGTCCGAGTGCGTTCAGAGCGCTGGGAGGTATCTTCGCGAGTAATTTGCGGACGCTGCCATTGTGAGGGGAGGGAGGACATGATGTGGGGAGGTTGGGGGGGTGGTGTATTTTGACGCGAGTAGGAACGTCAAAGGAGCGGGCTAAGTTGCTCGGGTCATAGCCCGAGCTATGAGCAAGCGACCCTCAGGGATGAGAGGATGAAAATGGGATGAAAATCGATGAAGTTCGCGATGGAAACAGGCGTCGATTTCGCGGGGAACAGTTGAGGCGCACCAGGTGAGGTTGTGGACGCTTCGGTTATGGGTGACTAAGGCGTTGCGTTGAGGTTGAATACTGAAGACACAAGGTGACACCCTTACAACAGCTCAGGCACAGACAGGACAAAACTTGTCAAGAAAATTTAGATAACTTCTATGTCTTTTCTAACGATTCCCTTTTGTTTCGTTACTATATGTGCTTCGTTTCGTTTATCAGATTTTATGTTGAACGTGCCAGCTTGTAGTATAACTTCGTCTACACGCGCGACCATTAATTTAACCCGCGCTGCATAGTATGTAATTCAACAGTAGGAATCGTAATAAAGATCTATAGACCTAACAAGGGCATTCAATGGTAGAACTAATTATATGCCCGGTATGATAAGGATTTTTCAACACTACATATACGCGGACTCTAGAAAGTAATATCCGAGTGATATCCAATGATAGACGACGCGTATGAGACATCAACACTAATCTTTTCAAAATAGTTTAGTCTTATTAGTAACTTAAAATTAATATATAAGATCTATAGGCTCCTAAGTTTCTAATTGATTTGTTGGGTTGTATACATGTATTGAGGGAATACTCTAGATCTGAGTATCAGATGATCATATTTAGAGATATACATGTATGTACATGCAGTAACATCTTGGTTTATATATACTTATGTGGCCTACAAAAAAATTCGGAATTTTCATCTTGGTTTACATATCTTGTGCCACATTATTTAATTATAATTACATGTAGTCATGTGTTTCCTGCAGTGCGGAACCAAAACGTACTCTCACCGCTAGACACCGGCGAACCCCGGCGCGCTGACATGATGAGTTCAACAATTATGTAGTTAATAGAAATTTTGGGGGGTAGAGATCTTTCACCTTCATAGTACTATTCACTTCCAGAATTTTGACTTTGGTTGTGGTGATTCTACTGCTCATCTATCCTGATTCTCTTCTTCACATTTGCTCGCGAGAGATAGATCACGAGTGATTTTTCATGAAGACAGAATAGTACGGCTAGAGGATCTTGTTAACTCATTGATTGTATGTAACCCTAAGACTATATCGACAATATCTAACATTTTTATCCCCAGAATTTAACAGTGCTATATAGCGTACATACAGTTTGTATATGTTACATGAATGAACAGTGCAATTTCGTATGTGATATAACTATATGTAGTATTGCAGTGAACTACCACCGGAAATTGAGAAGTAATTGGCTATGAATTTCAGATCAAAGTTACTCGCCTAAGAGAATCCAGCCCCCAAGACTAATCGATATGTCCAAACAATTGTTAAACAGGTAATCCCTAGCTGGAGATAGGTAATTGTCGAATTTTTGCACGCAGTGTCCCTTAAACCGTCAAATTGTGATTATTTTGTGCTTGTCATGGGATAAGACACAGCAAATCATGGTTGGGGATTTGTGAGAGATTTATTCAGATTCAATCTTAGCTATAAGCATTAGCCACATTTATTGCTTTGTATTTTGGAAAAATGAGCCGAAATTCATGAGTAACAGCTTAAGGGATAGGGTATAGAGTAGATATATGTAAATACTAAGTATAGTACGAAAAAACGGGGTCAAATTATCACTACTATAGGATTACGGGATTCAGTGAAGAATATCATATAAATACCGTATATATAGCAAATCCACACACTTCTACTGCTTTTTGGTACTGTATAAGAAGTCCATGTACATGGATACATTTATGTGCGTACATGTAGTTAATCTAAAGGAACAGGGAAGTGAGAGAATAGGACGAGGAGTCGCCGAAGCCTTGAAGAGGATTACTGAGGTGATGAAAGATTAAACATAAAAGATGATTAGTACTCGGATTTTTGGTAAGATACGTGTACTCTAGGCCTAGATAGGTACCCTTCTTACACGCACACATATGATAAGTGTACATCTAGATTCGATGTACATTTACGCAGAGTGCGCGCGTACACACCAGAACTTCTAGCTCTCCCCAAGCCACTTTCATTCTGCTACTACCAAATGTACATGTACTAGCTGCACAAAATCAAAGATGATGTATGTCATTTTCGGCTAGGCACATACATGTACATGTACATGTACATTTATACATACATATATATACATGTACATACATGTATGTACTTGTCTGCACTAGCCCTACATATAGTTTACATGTACATTACCTACATCCCACAACATCAACCACCTCTGCCCACCTTTTCCAAAACTGTCCTATCCTTCCAATACTTTTGCTATATCCATCGTGTCATCTTCATCTCAATTGCCACTTATCAACATCAAAACCATTTGGTCTACATTCTCGATTGTAGAAAACCATAATGAGTGAGCAAGAAGCATCCAGCCACAATCCTTGCTTGGCATTTCATTGGTAGGATACCTTTATGAATTGCAGATCCCGCCGTAATAGCAGCATAGGCTAAGAAGCCTCTATATAGGTCGGATTCACAGGCAAAAACGGTAGAAGTGGTTTCATCATTGAATGAATGGAAGATCCCTGGATTCAAGCTTGAGCAGTGTTCCTATGGAGAGTTCGCCTGCTTTTTAGGACAGCAAGAGCCTTTCGACAAGATCTACTTTAAAGTAAGTTGTTGTACGGATCATTATTATTAGTATCGATATTTATGATAAGTGTAGTTTGTTATCGATGGCTCCAGGTGGGAAGTCAACCGAAACCTCCCAGTTTTCGTTGATGAATTCGGAAACGAAAATAATAGCTGGACCCCCCAACAGGCTACTGATCATCATGATGCTCTCATATTACATGTTCAGAAACAGCAAACTTTATCAAGGGTTGACATGGGAGAGCTCTGCAGACTAGCTCTTGCTGCTCATGGCCTGTATGATCAAGATTACAATGAGTTAGAGTGCGTCGTCGACAGGATAGTATCCGACACCGGTCGATTTACTCTTCCAATATCGGGAACCTTGGAGGTGTTTGTTTTGTTACGGTTTCAGCCAAGGAAACATGTATTCATTTCGAGCCAATTTGAAAGAAACGGAAAACACAAGAATTCCGATGATGTTTGGGTAGCCGCATTTCCAGCTGATACCAGTTCAAATCCATATTTACCTCTCTATGTGAGCCTCAGTAGCTCAGAGAAAGAGAGAAGAATGGAGAGCGAATGTGCTACGTTACGGTTTCTCAAAGAGCATACATCACTTCCTGTCCCTGAAGTGTTTTCGTACGACGTCCGGTACCCTCCAGTCAAAGATTTAACTTGGGAGCAGAAGGCGCATGACAAGCGTGCTGGTATAATTAACAAAGTTGACTGGCCGTTTATCTTGATGGAAAAACTTGGAGGCCTGTCATTTCAGCAGTATTGGTCACTCGTTGGAAATCCAAGTGAACAAAATCCAGATCTAAAAGATCTTAACATGAGGCGGCAAAAGGTATGACATCTTAAAAAGACATGATGTATTCAATTCTAACTCTTAAAACTATAGATCTTTGAGCAACTGGCGATGTATCAGTTAGAACTGGCAAATCATCCAATTGCGGCATGCGGTTACCTAACTCTCAATCTTAGTTACTGGCACAGACCGGATAAAAATTCTCGCACGCCGAAGTCATCATTTGGAGTTCGTCCTTGTATCTTTGATACCTGCCGACCCTTTACAGACTCTGTTGTTGCTGCTTTTCCCGATCGTCGGGCAAGATTATGCTTCCCGTTGGCAAATCCAACCAATTGTCTAAGTTCCATCACAGCCCGCTTTAACCACCTTTTCTCTCACAACTCGAAACGCCCCCGAATAATCAGTGATCCTACAGTGGAAACCGAAACGGATCATTTTATTGCCCTCGAACAAATGCGGTCTCTCGTATTTGAAACCCTTGGCCCAAATTATGAGACTGGTCCATTTATTCTCCAACATGCCAACTTATTCCCACAAAACATCTTTCTCACTGCCGATTCCGAAGAAGATTTTAAGATAAGTGGGATTATCGATTGGGATTTTGCATCCTCAGTTCCAATTCAGATCAGTGCGTGTCCTCCCCGCATGTGCTTGGGACGATTACAAATTGGAAACGAGAACCATGTTCAGGAAGCCCAAGCTTCTGGCATATTCCATTCACCAATCTTTCCGCAGAATGTGCTTGGGATGCAAAGAACTGAGTATTTCGCGTGTTTGGAACGAATCGAAAGCATCCTAGAAGAAAAGAAGGGACGAGGGCTCGCTGTATGTCGGGATTCGACAGGGAATAAAGGGCGCTTGTCAGAGGTTTTGAGACAAGAAATGGTCCTACCTGTGTATATTTTGGACGAAATTTGCAGTACATCTCTGCAAGCCCTTACCGGGAGGGTTGCTCACATGTATTTGCCACTGATCTTTGAAATTATAAGAGGTCACAAATGGGATGACGTTAAGGATGCTATTTTGAGGGATGGAGCAATGCGTTATGCAGTAGAAAAATGGAAGAAGGGGCAAGAGGACCTGAATCATCATCAGCCGTTTGTCTTGCAGACCGAATGTTCAGATCAACTGGCCGCTTCGGAGGAAGATTGCTTGGATGAGGTGGCTACTTCGCTGCCAGGATGCTTGGATTCAGATTTCTGAGTTTGTAAGAGTTACTAACCTGTAGCTATCTTTATCTATCATTTGATATACTTAATACATGTATCTACTTAGAGGACAGCGGGGGGAGTGTGTTTGAAGTGTACCTATTAGTTTGGACGGTTTCTGTTTAGCTGGGGAAAATGTTAGACCAATTATGTACTAATCACCGACTGTAGCCATTTGGTCATGGACAAGATTATTGGAAGAGTAAAAGAACTAGAGTAGATCCCATTATGCACATAGTGGATAACTTCCGCTCGCAACTACTCTTGAGGCTTAGTACAGTCGCATGCAACAAGTTCCCGCCGTTTTTTGACGGCGAGTCAAACCATAACCACTCCACCATGAACTCTGCAAAAATTTCAAGATATGACAAGTGGCAAGCTGTTATTCTCCATAAATTGGCTGAAATACTGTACAGATAAATAAAGATACAAACTGTCAGTCAGGAGGAGGATTGGCCTACTGGATCACCAGATTTCAACGCCATAGAGAATTCATGGGAGATGCTCAAGAGTGCACTAAAAAGGGAATGAAGTTATAGACAGAGAATACCTCATCGTGATGATGAACCTTTTATCGCTGCACAAGAGGAGTGGGGGGCATTGTCCCAACCAAAGCTAGATAAATTGCCATTAAGGGTTGAGGCGTGTCTCAAAGCCAATGGAGGGCATACTAGATGGTAGTCTCAAAATCGCTTTCTTTATATTCTATTTAACTCTACTATGTATTCTCCATTAAATATCTTCACTTATGGTTGAGTAACGAGTATTGAGGTTGGGTGTTGCATCGTGAACGGCGAGAACTTGATGCATGCGACTGTACATTATACGAGTGATCTTACATGACTATTAAATTCATTTCTATGTCGATACTTATGGTACTCAGGGTATACTTCCTAGTTAATCTATCCTAAATCTCGTCAAAAATAAAATCTAAACATTTATCCTGCAGTTACATGTATGCTACTGCTGCTGTAACATGTTCGGTTGATGAGTGGTTACATAAGCCATCTGTCCATGGCTTGGCAGGCATTCGTCACCATCATCCCACGCAAATCAGAGAGCTTGAAAGAACGCCAATGTTAAAGAAACCCATGATGTATTAGCGATGAGGTTTGTAAATCCCTCCTAAGTATATAGTGCTGTAGCTCTAGCTACTATTGTCCTAACAATCTATTAGGATCCGAGCTCCATTTACCGGCGCCTTTTGCGCTTTTACACTTCTTGCTGCGTACTTGGGGTTATCCGAGATCCAAGTTCCAGTCAACGATAAATTCCTCCACTTCATTACCTTCTTTATATTAACGGTACCATCAACCAATATATATTTCGGCCGGGTGCACTGTGCTGATTAAGACTAGCTATGTTTTTACTGGATTTTGGAAACTAGTAGGAGGAGAATTGTCAACTTTACTCTAGTTGTAGGTGGACGATATAGCTCTCTTACATGGTTGATCGTCTGAAATAACATCCGCCGAATAGATATGTACACTTATTGGAGGAGTCGGTAGCGAATTTCTACAATCGGTCGCCACTGTAAGCCACCTCTCTTACCTCACAATATTGTGTATATACTGATCGAAACCTGGTCTGCAAGACTCGCCAGTTTGACCCCTTCGATATACTAGCAAATCTTGTTGGTTCTGTAGGGGCGCTTTTACTGTCAACTTGGTATCACAAGAGGATGCTGGAGCGAAAACGACAGGCAAAGAAGTACCAGTTGGTACCGGGTGAAGATGCAGGTGGAGGTGAAGAGATGGAGGACCTGGAAGCTGGAAGAGTAGATGCCGGTGATGGTGATGAGGATGGAGAGCAGGATATCGGAGACGCGAAATGAATGAGAGCTGCGAAGTCTGGCAGTTGTCGTTCCCCCCCTGTTTTGTTTTATCTCATATGCCGGTATTTACTTTCTCAAATCTGTTCACCTAATCAGTGGGCGGAGTGCGGAGGTTTATAATGGAAGGTAAATTTTCTATCCTATTACTTCTCCTTTGATCATCCCCGCACCCGCCTGGCCCCGCCTTCCCCCCGCACCTGCCAACTACTATTTGAGATGGCGATGCGATGAGTTGCAGCTGCGCCGTCCAACCAGAATCCATTATAATCCCGACCAGCCCAGCAAAAGAAAGGAAAGGATCTGCAGCGTTCCTGGACGCCACCAAGAAGGTTGCCTACTGACAGCTGTGTCCTGGAATTTTATTTCACTCCATGCATGAATTTACTTATTTTCCGATTCGGCATTTTCAATGAGATGTTTCCGTGCGGCATGTGAATATGAGATGCTTTGTCAACACGTGACCGAATCATATGTGTGCTGGGAAAGAATAATTATGAGAAATATCGAGGTCCATTCGCAAATATAAATGATCATTCTACACGGTGATAGTGAATATATTCGTTATACCATTGTTTGGGGGCCGAGGCAGAGGCGAGGAAATGATCAAAAAATCGATACCCACATGATCCCTTACTCGAAGCAGCCTAATTCAGGCGCAATATATGATATCTATTTTCGAGACGCTTCGCAATCCCCACCAAGAGACGTGACAGTCGACGTTAGTAAATTTCTCCTTGAAACTTCATCAGCCGATGAAGCACTCAGGCAACTAGTTGAAACAAATGATTAAAACTAGAACCACAGAGGTTTATCCAATAGGAGACAAGAAAAAATAGTAGTAGCATAGTGCGATCAGTACCATGAGCACCCGAGGCTCAATCAACTAAAAACTCCATATCATGAGGTATCTACTCCCTAAAGACCCTGATTTGAGGTATATCTAGCAAAAACAGCCTTGCACTTGGGCGCACCAGCAGTATGCGGGGCGCCGTAAAGGCTAACCCTTATCAAACCCCCATCGCCAGGGACGTGGTACCAAAATGCACTTTTCCCCTGGTGATGTTCTTTCTTTGTCCAGGCACGCTATCTTAACCATCTTGCCCCATGTTGATCGCTCCAACCATAGTTGCAGTTCATGGGGCATCTCCCGGGATGGTCCCAGATATTGATCTCGGGTTAACATTCTTCCTACTCTAGCTCTACTATTCCTAACCCCGGCAGCGGCGACGGCCGATACATACCTACGTCATGGCTCACGGACTGCCCAAAGCGGAATGGTCTAAAGTTTAAAAGCGCGCCTTGTGATGCGGAAATTCGGAGCGAGTGATCACCCGTGACACAGGTCGACATGCAACTCATCCCCCTTGACTATTCGTGTATGTCACCCCCACAAATACAAATCAGTCATGATAGCTAAGATGTCATCAGATCTAGATCTAGATGCGACCAACCCTTTAGCTTATCTAATTTTTACATGACCTCGGTCAAGGTAGAAAGGCTGCCAGTGGCAATGAAAACGTTTCGCCAGATCCAGATGGCAGAACGATAGATAGTAAATGATATGGATACAGAATACAGGGTGGTAGCTACCGGATTATGATTCAAAACCAGAATACACGGAAATAACTTTGAGAGAAAAAACATAATCAAACTCCATGCCCTTGCCTTGCCTTTTCCGTCCCCCCACTCCCGCGAGCGCCCATTTGCCTCCTATGATAATGATGACGACGATGATGGTGATGATGATGACATGAAACGGAATAAAATAAACTGATACACATAAAAAAACCAAACAAAAATAATAACAACTCCAGTTCCTTTATTCCATGCCTACTCTCCCGCAAAACTGTAATGAATAAATAAATGAAATAAAAACGAAATATGCAAATCCCTCAACACAAGAAAGCGTATAAAACCACAACAGCGAGTGGTATATAGGTCGGTCATAAAATCAAACGCCTTGGTATCGTAGAGTAAAAAGGAAAAATGAAATAAATAGTGAAGAAACACCTCCCAACCAAGACCCAAAGCTAAACGAATGTTTGTCGTATTTTTCAAACCGGTGGTGTAATACACGTGTACGCTATTCGACGATATGGGCTACTATGAGTGCAGGAGCACTCCTCCATCAGCTTTGCATTCTTCATCTGGTTCAACTATGTCTTCATAGCCATTGTCACTATCACCATCTGTGGACGTACCCGGAGGCGAAGCTGACTTCCCCCGCCGTTGGAATTTCTCCTTGAGCACTTGGTACAGAAACTCGTACTGCATGTGGCTCTGCACCATGTACATCCGCTGCTCGCGGAGCTGGTTGACGGTCTCGAAGATGAGATCCTCGCGCTCGTCGGCAGCAATCGCGCCGGCGTCAATCTCGCGGATGAAGTGGTCAAGTGTTACGAAAGTGCCCGATCTGCCAACACCGGCGCTACCTATACAATGCGCAAAATGGTTAGCGTATGTTAGCTACAATTAGGGATTGGGAAGGTGGCTGACAATGGACAATGAGTGGATTATGGGGACCACTGTTCTTCTCGTTTGCTAGCTTCACGGTCTCCAGGAGTGCATTACGGTCTTCACCCTCCGGCACATGGAAGTCCGGCCATCCCTTGAATAGCAGGTGCCATACTGTCTTCTCTTTATCGCCGACCTTCAGGATCAATTTCCGTACTGTGCACGAGCTGCGCTTGTCCTTGGTCTTCTCGACACATTTGATAGTCGCACTGAACCCATCTCCAAACTCGTCGTCGCCATTAATTGCCCACGCTTCATCCTCAACCTTCTCTGGGAAGTACTGGAAGCACTTGTCCCGCCCTAGCTCGAAAGTCTTCGTGAGCATCACAATCACTGCAACGTCGTCGGTCTCGTGCCAAATCATTCGCCATATGTGGTTAAACTGTCCTTCTTTCGGGCCCTAACATAAAAGTCAGCCTTCAATCTGTCTAATTCTCTCAATGCAGGGTCTACACACCTGAGTGCAGATATATCGCTTGACAGAATCATCCTTACGACTAGTCAATGTGATTGGAGAAGCATTGATGTAGTCGCAGTGCTCCTCGGGCACTTTCAGCTTGATGCGGTTGTACTCCCACGCCGCAATGTTGGAATATCTATTTCGAGAGCTGACTTCAGGTGAGTCGTCGAGCCGCCACTTGGAGTCTTCGTGGGTGTTCACAAGACTCTGGGTTAGGCGTTCGCCCTGTAGGTAATCGAGTTCCAAGAACTTTCTTCGGATCTCTGGAGGCGTTAAAACAAACATTAGCACAGAACTTCTGGTTGTTGGCAACAGAAGCTGTATATAGCAAGAGGGCAGTTGTGTTTTCTTATTAGCGGAGTCGCCCCACAACCCCGAATGGGTCGTTTCAACCTCATCTCATCGCGCAAACCGCTTATTCTTTCCTTCTTTTATTTTTTTTTCACTCCTCAATGCAATGAACGGCGGGGGTGGGCAAAGAAAAAGCAAATAAAATAAGAAAATCAGAAAATCGAAAAAAAAAACCTGACTTCTAAAAACATACCGTTATGAGATTGTAGCAAAAACCTCGGAATGCCTCTATCTGCCGACCGGCCCCTTCGCCGAGACCTCGACATTCTTGGAGACGAGCGTGATGATACGACATGATGGGGCATCCCAGGTCGCCATGTAATGTGGTGGGACATTGGAAAGATTTGGCTTACGTCGGGAAGCTGTATAGTGAATGATTTATGGGGAATGGCGAAGGTGATTGTTATGGAAGTCGTTTTGAATGATTGGCCCTTTACGGGGATTGGTATCTATAGGGGATTTTTGTTTGGGCGAGCAGGAAGCTTATGTGTTGATGTTTGGGTGGTTGCGATCGATGGAGGGGTGTTGGTAGTTATTATGCGGTAGTGGGGCGGGAGAGGAGACCTTATGAGGAGTGAGGACTTGGGATGGGCGGTTGGGTTGCAGATCGCGTGGTGGAAAGCGGAGCTATGAATACATATGTGTGATTTTCGGGAGGGAGGGATTTGGGGGGGGGGGGGGGGGGGGTATTTAGAGAAGTGTGTGGGGGGGAGAACGGAAATGGCGAAATGCGTGAATGTGGCGGGGTGAAGGCAGTTCAGAGGTAAGTTTAGGTGGACACGAGAACTGATTGCTTGAACAGAGTTGCGGAATTATTGATTGATTGAGGTGCGAGTGAGCGAGCATGTGGGAGATTGGGTATGAGTGTGTGTGGCCCCTAACTACATGTAACTACATACTGTGTGTACCTAACTGTGTCGGAGTAGGTGCGCCAGGCAGACTGCGGATAACGGTTTGTCTTGTGCTTGGTTCAGTATCAGTCGCTCACTCATTCGAAGCTCGCTGGACGAAGTAATTATTTGTTCCTTCTTATGTCATGTCCTTTTCATCCTGTCTTCCTGTCCTGTCCTTTCAAGAAAGGGATGAGCCCCCCTCCTTCTCTGCAACAAGCAACAGCGGCTGGCGGAACTTCACTTTGGCCGGGGGGTTACTGGTTCCTGGAGTATGTAGGTATCAAGGATGCAGCAGTAGAGGTAATTAGTAGTTAGAGTCTCTACAAGTGTTATTGGTAATAATATATCATACATAAAATGAGGTTTAGCTAGCCCTTCTAATGGCAAGAGAAACCAGGGAGACAACGGAGAGAGACCCTGGATTGGACCCTGACCATCAGGATGCGAGTAAGAGTGAGCTAGAGTCAACTCCAAGTTTCTTTGTCCCACATACATGTATCAACCGTAGGGCGTAACTACATGTATGTCTGGAATCTGGACTGCACAGGCTACACAGCTTCAAAAACAACTGCACAGCTAGAAGCACAGAAGAGCGGCCGAGTCGATAATATTCACTTTCACTTTCGTAGATTTTTATGACTTTTGCCTACTGTCATTCCCACATGTCATGTACCTCCAATGTCATGTCGCTGCTGCTTGACATATCTGCGGACTCCTCTCATCGATGCATAGTGTGCGTGCACACCGGATCACTCTGCCCATCTTTATGTGTCTTGCGGATCGTGCCCTGCCCTCGCAGAGAGCAGAGCCGCACACACCGCCGCTTTGGTCCAGGGAGAGATGGAGGGATGAGGTAGGGTTGTCTGCATGGGTTTGCATGTGGGATGCAATGATTGGAAGGAAACCCATTAAACAACGATGTGGTCCTTGATCTATCGCATCCATCCAGCTGCTATCGGGTTGCACACACAGCCCATCTTCTCGTTTCGGTCTTGCCTCTTCCTTTACCTTCACTCTGCTTCACCTCACCTCGCAGCTTGCCACTGTGGGGAAACTGCAAACTCCGTATATCCGACCAAGAGTAGATACCGGCTGAGTTGCCTTCCTTTGTTGATCTCTCATACGTGTAAAGTGTGGTTTTGTGCTTGCTTGCCTACGAAGAGAAGGGGATGACGATGGTGTCGCAGCACCTGGTGGTGCTGCTGAGCTGAGAACCTTCCTCCAAGCTTCCAGAGGGACAGCGGCTCAAGTCCTATGACGTCGCGCGCACGGGCTGGACTCCTCCTCACGATGTTTCTTATAGAGAGGGGGAGGAGGGCGTGTAAGTAGACTGTGTTCTACCTACTGGTTACATGCAGTTGCAAGGCGCTGTTGTCTGTCTGCATGTACCGGGTGTTGAGGGTAAGTGATCAGAATCTGATAAGTGAATGTTGCGGTGAATACGTGTATTTGTCTTATCAGATTCTGATCACTTTTCGCTACACCCTAGTACTCTACCAAGAAATCAACAGCTTCTTCGGCGGTTGGGAAGCGGACCAGCACTTTGGTCACCAATTGAAGAGCATACTCTTAATGATGACCACAGGAACGTTATTTGCGTGCGTAGCAAATAACATCGTAGATAGGACTGCTGCAGCGGTGGTATCTTTGACAGATGTCTCTTTTGGGCGACCTGTAACCCACCGCCAGAGCTCCATGATACAGGTTTTCGGTGTTCTAAAAAAAAAACATTGAGAGACACTCGTAATGAAAATATTGATCACATGTCCATGTACATAGTAGAGTAGCTTATCGCTGGCCCGCCTAAGAATCATGAGAAGTGTGCTACCTGGTTGGTTGCTGCTGCTTTTAGCAGTGCCTATGTCCGCTTTAGTCATCCTGTCAAGCATCCATGTGTCTTTTGTTTTTCTTCCTTTCTCTTCTTTTTCCCTGGTAACCGGTTAGTTCCCCGGTTCACTGACATGCATAACCCGCCCGCATTTTTGCCCCTCCTCCTCACCACCAAAACCACCACAACCACTACCATCGTCAGAGAAAAAAAAAAAATACGATAGTGGGGAGAGCAATTTCTCAAAGAACCAAGGGAACAGCAGCAACAGCAAGGTCATCCCTTGTACATTGCACTAAATATTTGCAATGATTTGGATACGTGTCTTTGAGGTATGTTAAATCACACGCCCACCCCATCTTGTTCTTCGTCGTCTCCTTCTTCGGCCTTGCAGATACAGGATCTGCGGGCAGCTGTAGAATATGCGCTGATATGAACGACAGGCCTGGCTCGTTGCAAGAGTTGAGTTCAACCCCCCCGCGCTGGATTCGTGGCATGGGGATCATCGCCGCCCACCAGCCTAGAAAGAAGGAAAGAGAAAAAAATATTATTCCAGAGGGCGCATACACATCATTCATCCGCTCTACATACTCCCTCTGTCTACCTGCGCACCCGCACCCGCACCCGCACCCGCACCTATGTATCAAGAAGACGCGCAGTCCGCAGCGGAGTACGCAGGGTGGAAGCAAAACCACCCCCGGGACTGGGGTTGGGGGAAGTGACGTGGCAAAAGATTGAACTGCTTACTGACCAGAAAAGTTACTGAGGAGTCCGGCGTTTCATCGTGCGGTAGCAAATATCCATGGGCGATTGACGGGTACGAGAAGAATCGACTACAGCGAGATGGGCGGTACTAAGATTGATGGTTGTTATCCTTTCTTTGCTACTTCCCACTTGTTTCCCCGCACATTTTTATTATTATCTCCTTCCCTGGTGGAGTGATAGTGGTGTAGTACTATGGGTAGGGCAACCAGGCTGACACCCGTTTCAGGTGGTGCCGAAGAAAGTGGCTTTAAGAAGTTCGTCAAGATATATGCCGAGGAGTTTAAAGAAACGTTCCGGCGTCGGTAGTTGAGGCGCAGCAGCAGCTTTTGTGTGTAGGAGGGATGCGCTGTGGCTTTAGAATTAATCCGAATTGAAACATTTGTGGGGGTATGGCGAGGCTTGGTATTTTTTACTAGTTTGAATTCCGGTTCGTGGGCTGTTGTCTCGTTATACCCTCCGTCTCGCCCGACCCTCCACCGCTCTGACCACCAACCACAAGTAACACTGGCACCACGATGTGCTTCTATCCAATTCCGTTGCAATCAATCATTACCCCCAAACCGGCCGTGCCACTATCGTAAGGTTCGAAGTGTTGTTCACCCCGATATCTCTTTTTGATAGTCATTTCTTTATTTTAATTGTTGCCTCCCGTTTTCTTTATCTATTCCCTCAGCATTTGCACCCGGACATTAAATTGGGCTTCTTTGACTATAACCTACGTTATTTGGCTCTCATTCCGTCCGAAGATCAAAGGGCGCAAGCCCTCCAGCATCTTAGTGACCGAATTCTCTCTTCATCAAAAGTTTTCCCCATGATGAATAGATTCGGTCATTTGATGCAAACATTTCAACCCCACTCCCAATTATTACTTCTAGTTAATCATTGGCCCTCCTGTATGTTGTTAATATGTATATTCATTTTCAAATTTCTGGACCTCGGTCCTCCCCCGAGACCCCCCTCTCTCTAAGTTAATGCAAGTTACACATGCTACATACATTAGTCGCTAAGCCCCACCACCCACATTCTCACATTAGAGTCTTTTAGCTGCGCGAGTTGAACAGAAAGTCGAGCAGGTTGGACAGAAAGTCTAGCTGTTTTCGGAAGAGACTTGCAGTCGTTCAACCAACAAGATGTGCAGGACTTTTTGTCGAAGTGCTCGACTTTCTGTCCAACTATTGCAGCTAAAAGACTCTATTCCCACATTTCTACGTCTGATGCTTCCCCAGCCAGGGAATTCTCTAGGAAATCTCTGTACGCTGCGTAGATTACAATTGGCCGGTAAGGATTCTTCAAGTGATGTTTCGATCAAATTCGGCACGACTCCACCACGATATGGTATGATCGCAAATGACGTGGTGCATAAAGTCTCCTGGGGGGGGGGGGGGGGGGGGGTGGACATGTATAAGAATTGCGTGGTCGTCGCTGCTGCTGCTGCTCTGTAGAAAGAAAAAAGTGAATATCACATACCTTATCGTGGGCCTCCCTATCTTGCCTATTATCAATTGACAGCGAAATAGTAGTAGCCAATTCCCATCCCCAAAGCTATCAAAGGGCACACACAGCTAGCTAGTGGTAGTAGCACCTACTATCAGTATCAGTATCAGTATCAGATATCAATATGCCCACTGCAATTGTCACCGGCGCCACAGGTTTGCCCCCCCCCCCCCCCCCCGCGCTTCCATTTACCAAAAATAAAAAACTCAAAAACACAACCCCTCTCACTCACACACCCTCAGGTATCAACGGGCTCGCGGTCCTCCGCACCCTCTCCGCGGACCCCAAGACCTGGACCCAGATCTACGCCGTATCCCGGTCCGCCCCGTCGGCCAGCACCCTGTTTCCGGCGAACGTGCAGCACGTGCCGCTCGACCTCCTCGGGGGCGCTGCGGGCGTTGCGAAGGCCCTCAAGCAGAGGATCGATGCGCAGAGCAACGATGCAATCTACGTCTTCTTTGCGGCCTATCTTGAGCAGCCGACGGAGGAGGAGCAGTCGAATGTGAATGGGGCGTTGTTGCGCAACTTCCTGGAGGGGGTGAGGGAGGCCGGGCTGGAGAAGCGGCTCAAGAGGGTTGTGCTGACGACGGGGGCGAAATATTATGGCGGTAAGTTCAGTGATTTTTTTTCTTCTCGCTGTGCTGTGCTGTGCTGTGCTGTTTTTTTTGTCCGGGGTGGTGGTGTTGTATGGTTGTGGGGGGGCGGTGGTTATGAGGTTGTGATGTGAGCTGATTGAAGGGGTAATGATCGATAGTGCACTACGGCGCCGTCAAGGTCCCGTGCGAAGAGGAAGACCCGAAAGTTATGGGGCCGACGGTGCCGAGGAACTTTTATTACGTGCAGGAGGACATCTTGATTGAGATGTCGCGCGGCCAGAGCTGGGACTGGTGCACGGCAATGCCTGGTGCTGTCATTGGCTTTGCTCATGGTGATAATCAACCCTTACCCTGGGTTTCTGGATCGAGGTGTTGATTATATATATATTAATCCGCGGGGACGTTGTAGGCAACTTTATGAACATGGCATCTGCAATTGCGATCTATGCAAGCGTGTGCAAAGAGCTTGGAGAGCCACTTCACTTTACGGGGAACCTCCCTGGGTACACGACGTTCGATACGTATAGCTCTGCGAAGCTTGTTGCCGGTAGGCATATATATATATATTAGCATCAATTTCACTGTGTCCTCCGGTAGCTACTTGTAGGAGAGAGGAGTCATGCTGACATGTAGCTCAGAGTTCGAGATCTGGGCCGCACTGAACGAGAAATGCCACAACGAGCGCTTTAACACCGTCAACGGGGACAGCGCCAGCTGGCAGTCCATGTGGCCCAAAATCGCGCGCCACTTTGGCGTCCGCATCCCGCCGAACCAGTTCGTAATGCCCGCACCGCTCCCGGGCAAGTACAAGATCGCACAAGACCCGCCGCTTGCTGCGCATGCGGACAAGATGGGCCTTGTGGGCGTGCTGGAGGAGAACGCGCTTGACTGCAGGGTGGACTTGGTGAAGTGGGCGGAGCGGGAGGATGTCAAGAAGGCGTGGGCGGAGATTGCAAAAAGGGAGGGACTGAAGGATGATGCCCTCCAGAAGGCGACATGGGTGTTTGCGAACATGATGCTCGCAAAGAAGTATCCGTGGGTGTCAAGGTGAGTGATATCATGTGTCTCTGTGCGGGCAGACGGATGAGACTTTTGGTGTGATGATAACGGGTATTTTGGTGCAGCATGACCAAGGCGAGGAAGTTTGGATGGACGGGATATGTCGATACTTGGGAGGTATGGTGACCGCTGAGTCTTTTCGTGCTGGCAGTGTAGTGTGGATTCACGTAGACTAATAATGTCTTTCTTAGTGCCTTGAGGATACTTTCAACGAGCTCGAGCAGGAAAGGATCATTCCGAGGCCGCAGAGCTTGATCCACTAGAACATGGGTGAGGATTTGTGATCAATCACAGCCTATCACTCGGAGAATCGAACAGATGAAAAAAAAAATTTCGCAATTGTATGCGGCCTTACGGCTATGACAAAAGCAATTTATTATTATTATTATTATTGTTGATTATATGCAGCCTTACGTGTAAGGCTATGACAAAAATGAAGTTGATTGGTTAATTGATTGATAATTCATTAATTGTATGGTACAGCCGTGTTAAACAAGTCTTGTCAGTAGATGACAACGCGATAGCGGCACATATAACACAGTCCCCCTCAACAACCATAATTCCAGAGGACTTGAAATTAAGGGTACAGGAAAATTAGGATACTATTCATTATATTCTAAAATCTTGAGAATTTGGAATGAATGCTAAATGTGTAGCTTCCATGAAAGGTTTCGGCTGTAAATGGTGATTTGGACCCACATGCTCTACCCACAAAGTCTCAACAACAACAAGCGCATTCTCCAAAGTCTAAATGTCTATCTCGAGTCTATGACCCTGGATACCCTTGATTTAATTGCAGAAATTCTCTGGCTAGTGCATGTGTAGCTATTCTTCTGGAAGTATTCAAATCACAATATTCACTAGTCACTGTATCACAAAAGCAGAAATCCAGCAATAATTCTGTGGGTAGGAATACTTGTACTCTGGACATCTACAAGGCTTAATTATTTTGTTTTAATCAAATCCAATTGATGGTTGTTGAGTGGGAAGGATTTTAATATTTCGTGTGGTGCTGACTGCCAGGACTTTCTTAACACGACTGTACAAATGAAGTTGATTAGGTGTATTTAGTTCTTTGTGGAGTACAACGCACTGCGCGGATGTAGTATGTCGTAGTGAGAATAAGCCCGCGTCCCGCAGTAGAGGCACCACCCCGAAAGTTTTGTCGCGAAAAGACCCGGGATTACGAGTTCGGTCCCTGCATGCTTCCCTTCATCCTGATATTCCACACTTCCAAACTCATACGGTCTCTTAACCACGGGCGCTTCATAGGGCTATTATAAATCATCTCGTATCAATCTTCTACTCACAGCTATCGTAAGTCGAGGTATGCACGTGTATCGGCCTGACTCTGGCACAGCACACAGTCGTTCCGCTAGATCGGCGCTGTCCTTATCACTCGGTCCAAGCCGGGATTTCGGTGTCTCGGTTTGTTGAGCGCCGGCGCGTGTCGATAGGTAGCAGAGCAGTATCTCACAGCTTCGGGATGACACAGCCACACAACGGTCAGGTGGGAGGTGCATACCTCCCCATAAACCGGCACATTTTTATCATCGCCCAAGTTCCAGGTAGAAATTTCTCCATATACCTTACCTAGAGTTACATACATATACTTTACCCTAGGGTGGAGGCCTTGTTAAGTCAAACAGTTCAGAAAACGATGAATGGTTGGGCGTTGAGGCCAAACACCATAAGAATATAACGAGATGGCGAAGTGACCTGTTGATCAAGAGACATGATGGGTGGACGTTATGTGTGCCGTTCAAACTGGTAAGGTCACGGTGTCGAGTACCTGAGTGCTAGTCAGAGGACTCGCTGTCAAGAGGATTCGCTGCGAGCAAGGTCCCATCTGGCCCTCCTACACGACGATGGCTCACATTACACATATCTCTAGACATCAATAAAGCTTTGGTACCCGAGTTCGATAGTCACCCCATTTTTATATATCTATCCAGGTATTTGTCTAAGTATAGCAGCTACAGATTAGACTAGATAAACAATCAACAACTGAAGACCAACCCACGAGTGATACCCCATGACCGGATCAAGAATGCTACGACACGCATTCCCCAACATACAGACTAGCGGATCCAGACAGGCTCCTTGCTAATGATGACTACCCTGAAGCCCATAACCATCCACCAGCGCAACGGGGGATATGTACGCAGAAAGCCATATATAGGAAGGGCTAGGGTTTAATCCTCCTACTAAACAGCAGACCCGATAAAAACCTTGCCAACTAGCGCGCAAATAATTCACTCCAGCTCTGTATCCGATCTACGAGTAATCCAGATAGACTTGATTCTTTTAGTAAACAAGCAGAGACTAAGGAAAAATGTTAGTCAACCTTGGCACGGTGCTAAGAGACCACGATATTAGTAACAACAAAAAAAATTCAAAGCTAATAAGTACTTTCACACCACCACAAGCTCGGCTGGTCTAGTGGTATGATTCTCGCTTAGGGTCGCACTCTAAGTTAATATGCGAGAGGTCCCCGGTTCAAACCCGGGGTCGAGCCTAATTCAATTTTTTTGTTAGTATCTTCTACTTGACCGAGTGAGTCAGGCTGACTCAATCGACCCTTCCCTTGTGGTTGAAGAATTGTGTCGGGGAACTGTGCTCGCTGACACTGCTGATTAGTAATGGCAATTTAAAGTTTTTTTCCCGGCATTCAGGGGGAATGAAAGGCGCTGTTTAGTCAGAGGGTACAGGGGAACTCGGGAGTGCTTCATGCATGCCTCCCTCCCTCCCGGCCCACGCTACTACGGTGCCGGTAGAGTACATACTTTACCTCAGGGAATTCCATTCCTACTTGGTACATAGATTCTACCCCTATCTTTTACAAGGAGCCCCCCGGGGGGGGGGCAATTTTTAACTTCCCGATTAATCTCGTCGGGTACTTTTGCAGGTCCCATCCATGTTGGTTGGCTCATTGCAATGTGGTGGGCGGAGTCACAGATTCTCACTCATGCGTGAGCTGGCTGGGTTAGGTTTCTGGGTTCCTGATTGATGGTCTGGTCACACACAACACTACACTGACATGACTGGATCCTCACTGTGTATGTAGTATGATTGATTACGTATACCAATACCGCTATTCACTCTCCGTAGCCGGAAGAACTTCTGAATGGTCAGAAATATGGCGTACTGTCTGTCCGCCATGGTGAGCTGCAAGTATGTACTCTATGTACCTGTACCCAGCGCCACTACCTGAATATAGAGGAAGGGATAATTTTTGCAATAAAGCACAGGTTTTTTACTCCCAATTGTCTTCCGCCAATTTTCATTCAGTTCGTAAGGTACATACGTAGATATATTACAGAGAGTTATCATGCCTGAGAGATAAAGAAAAAAGACAAAATAAAAACCAAAACCTAAAATCGTTGTGACCAATTACAAGGTCACAGTGACCTAAAATAGAAATGGATAAGGAAATGTAAATATTGAAATTCGTACACCGTTCGCACATGAATAACAATCCAAATAAAAAGGGAAACTCGGCAAAGGCCAAGAAAACTCCTACAATCCAAAATGCAATATGAATACCAATTAGGCAACTAATGCCATTCTTCCTCCCCGAGACACTAATCACCCACACCTTCAACTCAGCTACCTGTATCGTGCAGGATGCCCTTACGTGGTAGGGTTTGTCTCCATTTCAACTGCCTTTGCTGTAGGAGATCCTTTTACAGGAGCAGAGGTTGTCTCAGTTGCTGATTCCAAGGCTCTTCCGCCAGCTTTCAACACTACCACCGATGCTTTGATTCCAGAAACAATGAACGCTTCCGCAACATCTCCCAGACATTTCCGGGTCTCTGCGCCAGCGCCGGAGGGAACACCGAGGGTATCCAGGACAGTGACCAACTCCTCTCTAATTTGTGATGTTCCGGGTTCGTGTTGGCTTCGCCCGACGATGATGAGATCCCCGGCATTCCTTGATGATTGACCAACCTCCTCTCGGGCCTTGACAATTGCGTAATGTAGAGGCTGGCTCGTTCTAAAGGTTTCAAATACAACCCTCTGGGAGAGGTTTTCTGGAAGGGAGTCTACCATCACTTGGAAGAAATTGGCATCTGGATCCTGAATCTCAACGGCGGTGCTGCTCCCTGCACTCTGAGACTGAGACGAAGAGGAGATAGCATCGCGTGAGAGTCTGGTTGGAATGTTCGATGAGGAGAGACCCCTTGGAAGATCCTTTCGGTGGATTTGTGCCGGTGATGGGAGCTCAAGGTTCAGTTGTGTATCAGCGTCAGATTTGTAGGCGATACGGACTATTGTAGCAGTGACGTTCTTGTTGGATGCCAATTGAAGAACAAACCTCAGAGCGATGTGGTCATCGATACCGCCAAAGAAAGGAAAGAAAATATGATGTGATGGGTCGGAAACAGGAACTACAGGCGCCATGGCATCTGTGGTCCTACGGGAACGCATACTGGAATGGCTTACAGCGCGGCTGAGAGTTCTCTCTAACCCAGCGCCACCAAAACCTCGATTGATCATAATAGCAGTTGTGCAGTTGGCTTCATCGAGAGCCCTGCTTATAAAAAGGTTGTGTTGGTGAGATGTGAAGCGGTTTTCTTGAGTTGCATTTTGAGTATCCGGCGAGTCCGAGATTGCTCCAGTTTCACTCCACGGAACGATAAGTAAATCCGATGATTGTTCCGAAGCACTTGTTGTCAAAACTTCCGCAAAAGAGCTATCAGGGGCGACGGATAGCCCAGCTGAGACCGAGACATTTAGAAATCTCGCAAAGGATCGGAAAACGTTTACGACCGGGTCTCTCTCTTGGAGTTCATCAACCTCAGACACTTGCATGACAGTCGAGGTACGTTGAGTAAGCTCAACCAACCGGACACCGTGTACTGATAACAATCGCTTATTGAGAACTGGGGGACGGATTTCCGCAGTTTCACCCTCCTCTTGGATTGCGTTGATTTTAGATTTGTGTATTTTCGCGGCAGGTTCTGGCCGTTCTCCGGTCAACAAGTTGATGAAGTTTAGCACACTTGGTAAGCTTTCCAGGCGAAGCAATACAGTGACCCTAGAGAATTTTGTGGTGATTTCTTTCTGTCCTATAAGTGCAGAGTTTGATCCATCACCACTTTCGGGCGTAAGTAGGTTCCCTTCCCAATCGATCTCACCACGCTTCCAGGCTTCGAGCTTCTTTTGATACCATGGGGGGTAAAGCCACATCACAAATGGAGTCGTCGCAAATGTTGTGATAAGGGCCATAACCACAAAGATGGTAAAAACCTTGGTGCTTAGAATACCAGCTTGAAGACCGATGTTCTAGAAGAATGAATACCATTAGTACCCATCCACAATAAATGTAGACTATTACTTACCAAGACAATAAGTTCGACCAGACCCTTACAACTCATCAAGACACCAATAGTAAGACTTTCTCTCCAAACCAACCCATTCACTCTTGCGGCCATTGTTCCACCAAAGATCTTGCCGAAGAAGGCAATCACAACAACGCCGACAACGTAACCCCAGACGATACCATCATCCAACAGACCAATATTGGTCTTCAGACCAGAAAGAGTAAAGTAAAGTGGGAGAAAAAGAACAGATACAAGATCCTCAACCTTTTCTGTCAGACGCACCGCAAAACCACCCTCGTGAGGACAAATCAATCCGATCAAGAAACCACCGAAAATTGCGTGCACGCCGATGATGTCGGTAAAAAAAGCTGAAGCCAACACCATGAGAAGTGTGAGAGCTACCATAGATTGTGATGGACCATTTTCGATTGATCCATCACGGCGAAGAACCCAGAGAAATGCTGGACGAACGGCATAAACCAGGAACAAGACCCAAGCAACCGAAACGAGGAGAACATAAAGAGCTGTGAGCCCAGTCCCTGCATTAACCAGGGCGACGGTCAGGGCGAGCAAGATCCAGCCGACAACATCATTACCAACGCCTGCAGACAGGACAATTGTCCCCACATTGGTTTGAAGGAGCTTAAGCTCTGTCAGAATTCTCGCCAAAACCGGGAAAGCCTATATATACCATGATCCTATATAAGCTTCAATCCGTGACATCCTTGAGACATATATCGAAAACCTACCGTAATTGCCATAGCAACACCAATGAAGAGCATGTAAACTCCGAAAGAAACCGTATCTTCGCCTTCTGGGAACTGATGGTAGAGACCATATGCAATAGCCGCACCTGAAGGTATCATCAGTATTGTTTGCCCAGATACCAAAGAGATAAATGTTGTACGAACCGAGTCCAAATGGAAGAATCATTCCTGCAGCGCTGACGCTTGCGGCGACCCTCCAGTTTCTCAACAACATACGGATATCAACCTCGAGACCAACTAGGAACAGGAACATCACTAGCCCAAGGTTTGCCACAAGGGAAAGTAAGGGCATAGAAGCGTCCGGGAATATGGCATGCTTGAACCCAGGTATCCGGCCCATGACGGTTGGTCCAAGGATAATACCTCCAACAACCTCAGCGATGACACGAGGTTGCTTCATTCTTGACAAAGGATATTGCAGTAAACGGCATGTTACGATGATTAGGGCAGCCTATTGCCCAGAAAAAACAGTTAGAATTAGACAGTTTCATTGAACCTCACAGTAAAAAACAGGGAAACCGACCTGAATGATGAACAATGTGAGAGGATTGTTGGCGTTGTAATTAGACGGATTCATTCCTTCAAGAACACCGGCCTGGTTTGCGGCGCCAGCAGCTGCCGCTGAAGTTACGACAGAACTCATGATACCAAGTATCCAGAGAGCAGCGGATGAATAAGGCATTATTCCTGGCGCCATTTTCTGTACGTGCCTCTAAATAAATAGAGGGGCTTCACAGCGCGCGTTATTACTGTAGCTGTTTTCTTTGCACACTTGGGGTAGGCTAAGAAGGTTGGGTGGATGTGCTCACTCGTCTTAACAGATGGGGGGGGGGGATTCTAGCTTTAATAGTACCTACGCGAACGCCCAAGAGTACCAAGTCTCTACCTTGATGACCGGCCACTTCGCTAAAATCCCTGCTACAACCTGTATCCTTTTTATCCCATGCAGTGTTTTGAGAGCTTCGGTACTACATGTTCATCAGGGCTCGTGAGATAAGGTGCAATCGTAGATATTGTATGTATGTCAGTGGCGGGCTAATGTCCTGCGCGACGCCTTAAACTGCCAGTAAGCTGCTTGGGTTTAAAGGCTTCAACATCCAACTTCCAACTTGAGGAACAGCACCTATGAAATCGCGCCTTGAGACCACGCGAGGCATTGGGTTCGGCTGGATTGTCTGGACCGAGACTTTAAAGAACGAGGCTCAGCAACTCACGTGTGAATTACATGTAATTTCACGCCCCGAATTTTAAAACCATATTCACAAAGAATATTTAAATCCAGCTATGATAAACGGATTTTTGCAGGCTTTGTCTAGGCTGACCACCCACAAATAAGCTCTTCCCATACCTGTAAGTTATATCGGATACCCGCTGGATCAATATTGCCGTCATACTTGCAACCCAACAGTTAGGATTTTAGTGCAAGCTTCATGCCGATGAACGGCAGTACAGAATTCCAGCTCTGTAGACTTTAATCATAATTCCTTCTTCTCAGACCTATCAACACCTTCGCTATGTGTGTATCTCATAGGTAGAATATGGGGGTCCATGTACGTACATGTAGGTACATATATTCTACAGAGCTATATGCCTATGTAGTACCCACCAAGTCCATGTCGCCCCCACCTGTGCCGTTGTTGATTTTTGGTCGCGAGCAACTAACCAAAAGCAAAGAATTCTCCTTAAGGGAAACAGACACCAAGGTTCATGTAGAATAGCGGTATTCTAGACTACATGTATGCACTTTGTCTAAGGTAGAGTACTCTAGAGTACATGAGCTAGAAGGGGACGTTTTGATTTGAGCCGCAGGACGTTAGTTGGTAAACCAATCGAGACCATCCATATAATTTCGTCGCGTGCCACGACAGCCGCCCTTTGAACACAATTTACGCAAATCATACACCACAACTCTACTGGGCAGCCCGCCACAAAAAGGAATAGATATATGATTCTCCGTGCGTATGTATTTGACACTTTAGATCTGCCGGCTCGGGAGTGGGTAGAGTTGTACTACAACTCGTACTCTAGAGCCCACCCAGAGTAGAGACGTAGATACTACCAGAGCACATACAATATTTTGCTCTAGCTAGGCGCGAGTCCTTGCGCCGCGCTGATGCTTGATGACCCATACATACGGGTAAAACTGTAATCATGTTTATTCTGTGGTAACATGAGGTATTGATTAGTTAGTTTCAGATAGCAGGGGGGATTTTGATCCCCATGTCAGCTTAAAGCTCTACACTCTAGTGACGGGATATACAGATCGATCAGCAAAATACAGGCAAATAATCTCTCGATTTCTCTACCTCCCGTCTGTCATCAGTGGCTGGTTAGGTTGTAGTCTAGATAACGTTATCGTTATATCGTTATACCTTATCTTGCACGATCTAGTTTTAGAGTATTTACAGGCAGCAGGGTATTTCAAATGGGACGAAACCCAGCAAATAATCAAAGGTCACATGAAATATCGATCATCAGGGCCCCAAACTAAATCAATTCGGTGGGGAAGTGCGGGGAATATACACGCTAGACAATATGCCAAGCCTTTGATAGCACCTTCGCTCCGTCTTACCTTGCAACAACCACCTACGCGTAACGTAGTCTACAAAACGTACTCCAATATATATAAACCTCAATAAATACCTCAGGAAGATTAAAGAGACTTGTATACCTAGAGACGAATACCATATACGATTTTAGAGACCTGCAACCGGGTATTAAACAACTTTAGAAATTTAAACTATAGATATGTAGTATGTATTAAAAGGAATCCCGGTGAGACCTACATTATGTGAGTCGACGTCTGCCCAGATGAGCGGGTTCAAGGCGCTCCTCGCACCAACTATTAGTCTCGCCGATCCTTTCTTTTTGTGAGAAAAAGAAAAAAAGAGAATATCAGTCACGCATATATTACAGCATATTATTTATATATGCTTTTGTGTTCGTAGTGTAACATGTGTGGGACATTTATCTAACTACACCATACGCAACCGTGCAATCGCCAGTTCGAAAAAAAGAAATGTATCCTTAGTTTTATGCCTCCCTGATGGACGTTTGTAATAAATCCAAGTTCCAGGGTGCACAAAGACCCTCCTCTGTGTCTCTTTTAGTTGATACCAACGGATCCTTCTCGCGAGTGATATACTATGACCCAAGTAGGCCGGGTTCGTTGTACAGACCCGCTGAAGGCTCCCTGTAGACTTTCGCAGGTAGCTATAGATATTTATATCAAAGTGGATGTTGATATAGACTAAATCCTAAAATCTAGTGGGAAGACCTACCAACTAGATATTCTGTTTCTCCCACACTTTAACAGAATTCAATGGAGTGATATAGCACCACCAGCCGGGAACTTTCAGGAAAGTTAATATGTTTGATAATCTTAAGCTATAAGGGGGCCATGGATTACATGTACTTACTTATATATTAAGCAGTGGCTTTGATATGAAAAAAAGCGAAGTACATTGATTGAGGTACATGCAGTAGGTACAGTACACCAGCTTGTACTCACTTAGTACCTCCCCAATGAGCATGAGTCTGGCTCGACATAGTTGTAATTACTTGATTTATCATCGACATGATTCTAACGAAAGATTAACGTGCATGGGTTTCAGAGCAAACCAATTATCTTCTTCGGAGTACACATCCAATTAATTGCAATATATGTGGGTTACATATAAGTCTATCGAAGTAGTGCAGTCTTCACCATCGGCGCTAGGAAAAATTTCTATTGGTTTAATTTACCAAGGAGGTAGACAAATAACCTTTCTCGATGATGTAGGGCTGACAGTGTCTATCGAGTAATAATTGTTTACTACATCGTATAGGGTATCCACATTCCCGGAACTTTACAATTAATGAATTATCAATCAATCAATCAATTCCCGGAGCTCTACGTGTACTGAATAGAGAGCGAGTGATGGCTTGTGATCGTACTTTAGCTACAATAAAATTAAGGGTTTTTTGGTGAATATTGAAATCACGATAGTCCCAGAGTTCTAAAAACTTGGCTGATAAAAGTGCAGTTTTTACGTCGCCACCAACGCCTCTACATGTAGTCGAGATCCACAAGTAGAAGTATGTACATTTATACCTTGCACTTTCCACCTAAGCCATCAATGCCCATCATTGCGATTAATAGAGCGGTTTTAGAAGCCACATGCGCACTAAAATGCACGCCTTTGTGCATCTCCTCGTGTGGCTCTAGTGGCTCTAGTGTCTCTAGTGTCAAGCCGTTCTTCAATTTTCTGTCAACGGCTAGACTTAACAGTGTGCTCGTGGTAGTAGTATACGTAATAAGAATAGTAGTGACAGTGGGCTGGAGTCGAAGGTTGATCTAGTATGATCTATTAGCCGGTTCTAACAGGAGATTAGAATGACAATGGCCTATCGGACGAAGTGTGTGTCGCCTGGCCTCGAAGTCCTTGTCTCGAGAGTCAAGAAAGAATGTCGAAAGCGGTTCACCGTTCACGAGGAGAGTGTTGCTCCTGGTAGACGAAACTCCTGGCCTCAAAAACCCCTCGGTTTATGAGTTTAAGTTGAGATAATGATAGCGTTATTGGGAGTTTTACGGGGGATTATTGTGCCTACTCGGCTCACTGAATATGGGCTTCACCTTTATTAAGTACATGTATCCACAGTGCAGATTTTTTTGTTTAATTCATTAATCGTATGCAGACCGTAGTCTATGACGATATCGCACTGCCCCAGAACTACCCTACATCCACCGCCACTTACAAATAAAATAAGAGAAAATAAAGAAAAGTAACTATTTAGAAAACAATTTGTGTTGTCTCTCTTTTCCCCCTTTGCCCCTCGGGCCAAGTATATCCTTTCCCTCGTAGCTACTGCGCATCGCGTCATAGTCTTCTTCGTATCTTAAGAGTCCCCGTCCCATCTTCATTTTGTTGCCCTTCATAAGTTCGTCTGTCGGGCAGAATTGAATGCCTTTATTGTGTGCTGCCTCGACTAGTAATGCGCATTCTTCGCTATCTTTATACCACGTCCATCCTCGAAGGGTGTATACCTCCACAGTGCAGATCGATAACTATGCCAAAATCTCCCGTCAGGGAGCTGCGGGGCATCTCGAGACCTTCGATGCAAAGCCACCTACCCGCTCTAGAAATGAGGCAGATGCCCAATGAGGATGGTGTTATTCGAGGTATTACCGTCTCTTTGTCTCGGGCAGCTCTGTGGGCAGACTACAGGGCATAAGTTTGAATTGGTTCAGCTTGTGGAGAGTTAGTTAAGGATTATATTAGAACTCGAGCTTTTGGCAACGGGTTGTGATAGCTCGAACATATACTACATGTAGCTACGTACATGTAGTAAGTATCAGGTTACATACCCACCAAGGAGGATATTTTTCGACCTTTAATCACTATTAATCACTCGATCAAAGTTTTTATTGTGAATGAGCCAAAAACTTTGGAGCCGGTCCGGTTCAGGGACCACACTAGTCCAACAACGATCCTAATTCTTATCTTGATTCCGACTACTGTAAGTGTACAAGTTCCTTCCAACCCACTGAAAGCAATGGCACCTATATCAGCAGCCCTCAGGTTGACGCATCAACCCGCCATATAACTAAGTCAACATAATTATCATAGTTTAATTACATATCAACACGCTTCACAACTACATTGATGTTGTCCGAACAAGAAACTATATCCATAAGTCATGCGCAAAGACTGCACCCATTTCATTTCGCTTCACAAAAACAGCCTTTTAAGCAACCGGTAAACCTTCAATCACACCTTGCTCTTCGTTGATCGGACCCGACCCGATCCGGTAGGATGCTTTCCACCTCATCTTAACACCCCCGCCCGCACCTCTGGCAACTCCTTCTACACGTATTATCTGCGATACTCCGTCCTTTTGACGAGCCTGGAGAAAACGGCCACTCTGGGGTTGCATTTTGAGGGTCAATGTCTGAGAAGATCGGTGTTAGCATTACTGAAATAGCCTCTTTCTCACGGAATAGAAGTATACCTTAGTAACCGCCATTTGAAAAGTCAAATCTTGGATGGGCTGGCTGTTGTTGTTTGAGAATTTTGCCTTGATTAATATCGGCCCATCAGGCATTGTTACAGGCCTGTTCGCTTCTAATAGAATATGTAAGTTTGAATTGAGGATTACAAGTTCATTCCGCGTAGGAGCCTGTTCTGATCCAGGTGGAAGAGCAGATGTGAAAGCCCATTCGTCGTCATCGTTAACAGTAGTACCATTGTGCTGTGATGCGGGTGCCTGCGATGACGAGGAAATGACAACAGGTTGCTGTGCAGGATTTGCGAACGCAGAGGTATAATTAGGAAAGCTGGGTGGTGGCACTTTTTGAGCGGGCGGTGGTGCCGGAGAAGCAGATGGTGTAATCTGATTCTGTTGTCCGGCAGTGTTTGTTTGCACAGTCGTTGATAACAATGGAGGACCCGGTATTCCTAAAGAGCAGATTGTGTCAGATTTGGATATACCGGGGGTGGGCTTGATTGATATCTACTTACCAGTATTCGCGCCAAATCCAAGAGCAATTCCCCCACCCTGGCCGAATGGGCCACTTTCTTGGAAAGATAGACCTAGTAGGTCGTCTTCCAACGACCCAGTCTTCCCAGTTGTATTTGCTGAAGTTCCGCTGCCACCATTTAAATCATTGTCCAGGTCAATCAAGGATGTTTCTACAGCTGCAGCAGAAGATGAGGCTTCTGAGAAAGGAGGAGGGGATGAGCCGGAGATGAGCGGCAATGCCTTTGCGGCATCCAAATTTCCTTTTTTAGTAAGTGTATATCGCTCCACAGTAGTGTTGATGATGTCGTTGAGCTCCAAGAGCTTCACAACTGCGTCAGTATCGTCACTTTCCTCCTCGATCATCTTTTGTATCTTTGGCTGAGCTGTCTTCAGAGCACTCGCAAGCTCCTGGCATTCCATTTCCATCAGATCCTCTTCCCAATAAATGATCAACAAAGAGAAGAAACGAACCTCAAATGTATCCTGTTGTCCAATATTGTCGCCCTTTTTAACTTTTCCTAGCATCTCTTCTAATAGCTTTGCCTTCTGTCGCAATTTGCCAACTTCTTCTGCCGCCTTTGCTCGGTAATCCGTTTTCGAAGCTAGGTCATACCCAGCCATGACTTTCATCAATTGATTCGCCTCTTGCAGGTCAGCTGGCGTACCCCGTCGAATAAGTTCCTGCAATTTTGCGGACTGCGCAGCTCTTTCCTCCTCCTCCATCTCCTCTGCCGATTTCAAGCTCTATAAACAGGATCAGTTAGCCTCTCTGCTAAATTGCACATTCTCTGAGAAGAAATCCCCGAAATCTAAACTTCCATGACATACATCACTCGGGTTCAAAACAGCTGCATCCTCTCGTCTGACCTCCGGGAACACGTATCCCTTGTAACTCAATAGCCTATGCATATCTCGGATGAATCCTAGATCCTCCTTGTATCGACTAGTCTGACATATCGTCCCCCTCCATTCCTCAATTGCCTCTAGAATTTTGAGTTGTACTCGAGTAGGTCGGGGTGGTGGCTTTTCTGGAAATCGCCGAACAAGTTCGTTTAAGAAGTCTTTGGTTGAAATCTGCAGATGAAAGGGGTAACCGCAGTTTTTAACGCATATATCTAGGAGCTGTGCTAATTGTTAAATCCAAGCTAGAAGCGGGCAGATATCGTGGCATACAGCAATTGCGAGAAGAGAAACATTGGGGTTCCGGTGGTTGATGTAGTTAACGATCGCTACTGCTGCTTCCCGAGGTCTATTGAGCTCCAAGAAGTTCCAGTTTTAGCTTTGCAGGTTCTCCAACCAATACTAAATACTAAAGGAAATAAGGGAAGATGATGAGCTTACGCATTTCCTTTCTTCTGGTTAATCAGATCGGCAATCTCCAGATTCAAGGCCAAATTTGGCTCGAAGTTCACAGGGTCGCAAGCATTCTCTAAACAGACCGAACATTAGAACTCCTGCACTATATCTGAGCTTTGAACTTCGGATTCCGGTGACAAGTAGGGATTCAGAGGGTTGGAAGGAACACACGTATAAACCGCTGAAGCTGGGAGGTGTTTGGTTCCGTAGGGAATCCGCCGAATCGATCCCGAGCGGCCATCCTGGAAGATGCGTATTCCAGGTTGGAGTTATTTATAAGCTCTAGATGTGGAGGTTAGTCGAATCGAGTCCGTCAAAAGATGCAAGAGAGACAGGCTCTCTGCAGAGGAATTGTGGTCGTTCCAGATGTATCAAATCACAGTTAGGGAGGATCAGTGCTAGGGAGGGGCTTGTGTTATGTTAGTCAGCCAAAGCTTCGTCAGCGTGATCTGCTTGCGGTTAAAGCGGCGACCTCCGAGCGAGTGACATTCTATGTTGGCGCTTCTAGCATTCTATCCACCTTTGTTCTAGCTGTATTTTCGACTTAAAACCATCTGTATTTGACAAATCCATGTATATACACGTACTTATAAGAAAAAACTATATATTGCTTATTAGGGGGTTAACTGGTGTTACCACCACAAAGAGTGATTAATGACCTACACATGGATACATGCAAGTACGTTTTTAACTTAGTACCATGTGAAACTGGGAAATCGGTCATTGGCGTACAAATTTGGCTATAAATAACTTTAGTTATGGACAAATTAGTTGTGATTAGGCCTAGATCTGACAGTGCTGGGCCAAATACGTCACTAGTAACAATGACTGGATCCATGACTTTAGGAGGGGATTTACCCTTCATTTATAGTTTTCCCTGCTGAAAGCCAATTGCCCTTTCTTGTGGAGAGTGTGCTGTGAGTTCGTTTGTTGGACTCACACTTAATTAAACTAGTAGGCATTTCAAGCCTTCCTCCCCTCCTTTATATAATTATAAGGGTTCACATTCGACCGACTACATGCACTGAAGAATAAACTTCATTGCAGATTCTTAGCTCTATACAAGTAAGTAGTTATCCCATAGTCCGTTAAAGCTGCCTATTGATTCGGGCGGCGTATTTTCAGCTGTGGCTTGTGTCTGGATCACACACCTATTCGGCTGCCACCCTTCCTCTTTTAGTAATTATAATACTCTATCAAAATAGACAGCATCTAAGCACCGGATTATGGGATAACAAAGACACTTTCTTATGGCCATTATGACCATCGAGCGCGAGGTGAGGGTCCGATTGACACAAAAACTACATGTAGGCATGTGTGAAGTGGAGTCAATCGATCAAGGAAATATATGCTCCTTAAACTTACAGTTGCAACTCGATATGCCGGATTGCCAAGATTCTAAGGATTTCGTACGGGATAGCAAAAAATCCGGGATAGCAAATTGATTTTGCAGTAGGAAAAATAATATTCTCAGAGGATCTCGTACGGGACAGCAAGGGATCCGGTGTATTGAGTTCCGGCATATCGAGTTGCGACTGTATTCCGGGTCGATCATGATCATAAGTGATCACTCAGCTGCTGGCCGATTCCCAGAAATGATACTGTACTCTATGTAGTTAGAATATTCGCTGAAATCATTGCAGGTCAAATACTGTGATTGGATCTTGATTGTCTCACTTGCATAATATTTCGGCGACTTACCTACGGAATTGGCCGATGAGAATCTCGGTCTCTCCCGTGCTACGTCATCAGCTGACTGCACGCAGGGACCGATCATATGCAAGGGGATAAGATAAGATCCTTAGAGGCCCCCGTCTTTCAACTCATTCGCACCTTTCAGCCCAAAACACAATATTTACTTCTCACTATGACTTCTATTGAAGAGCTTACTGCCCAGTGGCTTTCGCTTGATAAAGTATAACTCTCCCATATGCCTCATACATCGGTACACGACCGCTAATTTTCTAACTGTTTTAGAATGAGAAAACCAAAGCTGAAATACAATCACTCCTCGAGGCAGGGAATACCGAAGAGTTGGAAAGAAGGCTCCGCAATCGTACATAACCCCTTTCGCGCTGTAGCACTATTACTAGAATAATTTATGAGTTAACAAAACCTCTAAACGATAGGAATTGAGTTTGGCACAGCTGGTGAGATTTAAAGCTCTCTCCGGCCCTTAAAAACCACAAGCTCTACACATGACTAAATTGAAATCAGGGCTTAGAGCAAGAATGGAAGCCGGCTTCTCGCGTATGAACGACCTCACAGTTATTCAAGCATCACAAGGCCTTGCAGATTATATTAAAGAACAGTCTAGCAGCCCTTCAGTTGTGATTGGCCATGACCATCGCAACAATAGCTCCCAATTCGCTCGTTTAGCTTCTACCGCGATGATAAACAAGGGAGTTAAGGTAATAATCGTTCCCCGGAGAATTTTCCCGATATAATTAGTCCTTATTCATGGGAAACCAGGTCTATTTGTATGATGGATTGGTGCATACGCCGCTCGTTCCCTTTGCCGTCAACAGGTTAAATGCGACTGCGGGTATCATGATCACTGCCTCCCACAACCCCGCAAAGGATAATGGGTACAAGGTATATTGGTCAAATGGTTGCCAGATCATCCCACCGCACGACAAAAACATAGCGCAACACATCGATAAGAACATACTCCCTCTAAGTTGGGACCTATATGAAACATCTAGCAGTGATGTGGATAGGACAGAGCTTTTGAATAGGGCTAAGAGTTCCTACTTCGAATCGTTAAGGGGCATAGCACATGTCAGCCAAAATGATATGGGTAGGAAACCCTTGAGATTTGTTTATACACCTATGCATGGTGTCGGACTAGCAGCCATGGAACGCGCAATTGCAGATATGGGATTGACTGAAAATATGTTTATAGTTCAAGAACAAGTCAGTGCCCCCACCCCCCACCCCCCACATTTTTCCCTCTATCGAGAGCCTCTTTAGCTGTACCTGTACTCAAGTTTCTCTATGAAGGCTCAACCTGATCCCGAGTTTCCTACGGTCCGCTTCCCAAATCCAGAAGAAAAGGGGGCTTTAGATCTAGCGGTTGCCACAGCAGAGAGGAATAATATCAATCTCGTTTTGGCTAGTGATCCAGACGCTGATCGCTTCGCTGCCGCCGAGAAACTTCCTTCCGGGGAATGGAAAGTATTTACAGGGAACCAACTTGGTGTACTCTTCGCCGCACACACCTTAGATGTCTACCGGAAAGCTGCGGTTGGCATTGACAAGCCGATATCAAAACTCGCCATGCTGGCATCTACAGTTTCCACCCAGATGCTACATGCTATGGCCGCTGTGGAGGGTTTTCATTTCGAAGAAACACTTACTGGGTTTAAATGGCTTGGAAATCAAGCTCTATTACTCAAAGAAAAAGGATATGCTGCGTTGTATGCTTTTGAAGAGGCAATAGGATACATGTTTGCCCGCGTGGTGTATGACAAGGACGGTATTGCCGCAGCAACCGTTTTCATCACGATGGCGCAGAAATGGGCTAACGAGGGCCTCACTGTGCATGCGAAACTCGAGCAACTGTATAAAAAGTATGGGTACTTTGAAAGTGCAAACTCTTACTTTATCTCCCCTGATCCAAACTTGACAACAAATGTGTTTGCGGGAATACGGGGTTTAGGCAACCCGTATCCTACAATGCTAGGAAACCGCAGGATAACTTGGTGGAGAGATTTAACAGAGGGCTTTGATTCCGCCACTGTCGATAAGAAACCATTGTTGCCGGTAGATTCAAGCTCGCAGATGATCACCTGTGAGCTGGAAGGTGGTGTGAGGTTTACTGTAAGAGGGTCCGGGACAGAGCCTAAGATTAAAAGTGAGATCAATGTTCAATAAGCACCTCCGATTTTTCTTCTTCTTTTCGTTAGGATTGCTGTGCTGACCGAAAGAATCGTTAGTGTATATCGAGTGTAAAGCCAATAGTCAAGAACTCGCAAGACAGGGGGCACAGGAGGTTTCAGAGGCTCTGACGAAAGAGTGGTTCAGGCCTACGGAAACGGGACTATTATTGCCATAGATTGGAGTTAGAGGTGTCGTGTGTTTGAGTGTCAGTTCGTTAATCTCACATTTCTGCTTCAGTTGTAAACGCGGGCCAACCAAACCCTGCCTATAATCGTAAAGCGAAAAATGAAGGGATATGACAACCAAAATAATCAATATCCTAGATTCATGTCCGATGTCTCAACAGTAAAAGAAAGCCGCCAGAGCCCATAACTCATTGCCCTTTTTCATACATCAAAAGGAAAAAGGAAATAAAACGGAATGTCCCTCAAATAGCAACATAGAAATCACTCCAGGTCCCAAACAAAGAAAGAAAATAAAAGAAAATGATATCGTCCGTCCCTTTACCAACTCCACATATAAAGCATCAAGTCTTTGGAAAATACATCAAAAACCGCTAGCATTCAGTAGAGTAAATGCAACGGTGAAAATGGCGACCAGAGGTGTTCGGTAACCGTCGTTATGCCGTAGTGCTGACGGTGGTCGCTCGATGATGGATGACCTGTAGTCGAAAATTTCGTGTCTACATGACGTAGAGAAGCCTCGTATCTGTATAGACCCAACGCACGTTAAAAATTTCGTTCTTGACTCCAACCGTATTTTTCCCAAAAAGAAAACAAAAAGGATTGATAAAGGGGGTAATTGTGAAGGCAGAAAAAGGTAAAAAAAAGTAGACAAAAAATATGCTATGAGATCCACTCAACAAACATGAAGATATGAAAGAAAAAGTAAGAAAACAAGAAATAAGATGATTTTTCCAAATATTGTTAAGGGGGAAAGGAATATTAAGAAATAAAGAAAATATCAAATAAAATTCAGAACTTGAACTCCATCTCAGACTCATCAAGGGGATGTCCGTCATTACCTAGTGGGTGACTGCAGCTGAGCTGCGGCTTTTGAGCGTATTTCCCGGCGAGCTCTTCTCTGATACTGGTCAACAATTGCTGGTAAGATTGTTGAGGATTCTTGCTTAGAGCCCGAATAAATGCGTAGCTCATAGCACCAGTAGCCTCTCCGGCCTCAGTAGCATCCGCACTAAAAATAACAAATTAGACTCAACCAATAATCCCCGGATGTGCGAGCGACTTACGAAGTTTGGCTATCCTTGGATCCAGACCATTGAATGACATCTGCGGGTGATGTCTTTGTTCTTTTTGCCCTCTCTTCGGCACCCCTACCACTTGTAGCTCTCTTGAAAATACCAAGAGCTGAAGAAGCAACACCACTAAGATCACCTCTCGAATATGCTTGCAGGGCATCGAAAAGACCAGTCGCTGCTTCTTTCGCAAGGTTGGGCTCCTTCTCAACGCCGCGAGTGGAGTATAGGTAAGGAAGGTCTAACGCCGATCCGGAGTGACAAGAGTCAAAGATTGCCGTCAGGCGGACACCAGGTTTGAGCGGCGCAACCCTGTTCAAGTCAGCATCTGTGGGAGGATGAATAGGCATCAAGTATGCCATACATTATCCTGTGCATCTCGTCGTCAACAATATGACCATTGAAACGGAAGTCTACTGGATAGATGGTTTCATCATATCCTATAGTCGGATTAGTAAATGTATAGAATGCCAAGACTGTGGATCGTTTCCATATCGGGAGTTTACTAACCATCACCCTCATCACCGTCGTGGTCTTTGGTCTGCCCACCATGGCCTAGGTAGAGTGTTAGTGCTGTTGCATTGTCTCAGATACTATTGGGTGGACCTACCAGAGTAATGGAAAAATAGTGAGTCAGTTGGTTGGGCATCTTTGACTAGCCAATGCATAGCTTGAATAATATTCTGCTTTGTCGGTTGACTCCTAGGACTTTGTTGATCATCCGTCAAAATAACCATATCTTCACGCTTGTACTGGAACCTTTGATGCAAGAAAGTCGACATGTTCTTGACATCATTGATGCACCCTCTCAACTGTCCCCTCTGACCAAAGTAATTGATACCGATCAAGAGCGCCTTGCGCTTCCCCGTGCACGGGCCATACTCGTACCCAATTTGTGACGCTCCAGGCACTCCAAAGGATTGTTGCCCAGAAGGTGGTGCTGGTGGTGCTCCTGCGCCCATGTGATGCTGCTGATAAACATTATTCCCGACAGGTATAGCTTAAAAGAGTCAAGTCAATTTTATGCCCACGAAAAAAAAACCTTCCCAAAACATATAAACCCAAGAGTTACAAACCAGGTTGCTGAGGGTAACCATGTCCGGCCCATTGTTGCTGAGGCTGATGCGGCTGAGACATACTAATGATCAGCCAAAATTCCCCTTGACTCGTCACTCTTAAAATAGGAAAATTACCGGTGCACTATTGTAAGGGTATTGTTGCGAAGCTTGCGGTGGGTAATATTCCTGGGGAGGAGGTTGAGGCGATCCTGCAGGGTAGTTACTGTATTGTGGTTGTTGGCCACTAACATAAGTAGAGAGATTGATGTTAGCGACTCAGATAAAACAAGCATAGTTCATAAAACATGAGGCAAGTGGATGACATACGGTGGGTATGAATATTGCTGCCCTGGGTACCCTGATTGTTGACCATAATTGCCGGGGTAATGACCAGACATGACGAGTAAAAATTATTGCAAAAGAAATATGAATAATGCAAAAGTTCGGACGACTAGATCGGTGAAAGATACTCTGCGAGGGAAAGCTTTTTTCCAGATCTGAGAGGCTTGCTTTGAAGGCGGAATGTCGACTGATGCAGGTCAAGAGAAGGCTTTGAGGGGCGGATCCGGTGGGAGCTTTATACAGACAGAGGTCGAAGGAGAGTGTATACGAAGCTAAGGAGTTCAGAGGAGAGAGACACACAGGCTTGGAAGATGGAGGGGTAGATTAGATTGGAAAGGTCGACAAACGGATAGATGGCAAAGGACACAGGTCCAGAGGAGAAAAGAAGGAGGAGTGGTGTAGAGGAAGGAGAGAAAGGATCCAAGGCGGGAGAGAGGAAAGATGAGCAGTAGGAGCAGCAACAGTTACACATGCACCTAGAGGTGGGGATTCGCTTGCGTCGTTGGTGGTGGGTTTCAGTCGCAGAGCCTTTGCCGAGCCCTACGAAACCCAGGTCCAGCAGCTACTTGACTGCGGGAAGCAGTAAAAAAATAATCATTAGGGTAGGCTCAAATAAGGCAAATATCACCGTTTTGGGTAGTATATTGCTTATTCTAATTTCAAGTCTCTAACGACGAACTCCAGCGATTAAGCATTAGTTCACAAAAGGCTTACGCGGTGTATGATCGCTTATTTCAATATAAGGTATCTTTGAAAATAATGACTATATAATCTTTAATCGTGAAGTATTCTTTTACATTAATATACGTTATCTTAGCCTTACGGGTAAATAAGATTTTACAAAAATAAGCGTTATTTAAGATTTAATTTCATATATACCTCTCTATTAAATAACGATCAATACCTCGGCATGATTATTGGTGGATATGTATTATATTAGAGCACGTATTTATATTATTACTAAGCAATTACTAATCGTACAGTACAGTGCTTTTTTTAGTGCACCCCAACCCCCTATTGATTGCGCACCACACCCCTCCTTAGTGCACCCCTATTGCGCACCACACCCCTCCTTAGTGCACCCCTATTGCGCACCACACCCTCCTTAGTGCACCCCTTTTAGCATAAATCAGCAGAACCTAACGTCCCAATTGCACCACCAAAAGCGCCTATCTAAAGACGATTCTGACGGGTCAAAAGGCAGAATATAGAGGCGTTTTGACGATACAGCGGGTAGCCCGTATACTGCTCTCCGATTGGTTGATTTGAGCACCGGAATCGATGATATTGGGTCTAATTTTCCGGTGTCGTCATATATCTGCACGTGTACGAATAGGCGCTCGATTTGGTGCAATTTGTGGGTGAAGATATACTCGATTTGGCCTACCAGTGGAGGTGTATCGCCCTGATTTGGTGCTCTTAGGGTAATATATGTGCCTTTGGTAAACCCTATACGTTTCTGCTCTGTAGGATCGACAAAGGTGAATCGCTGGTAGTAAGCATACGGTTTAGCACCCAAATCGACGATATTTGGGCGCAAATAGTCCCTTTTGTACGCTAATCGGAGAATATCGTCAAAGACGCCAGAAGCACGTGATTTGGTAGGTAAAAGGGCGGTGTTTCTGACGTAATTGGCGGGAACTCGACCCAAAACCCTGGGATTGACGTGATTTGGTGCTGATTCTACCCCTGTTTCTGCTTCCTCTAGATATTGGTGTGAAGACGCTGGTAGCAGATATTCGATTAGGGTAGGGCACACCTTCTTGAGATCAGCAAAGGCACGTGATATCTCCGGATTTGACTCCTCGAAAGCGCCTTCTAGGACAAATCTAACGGTCTTTTTCCTACCGTCGTGGCGGAGAAGATGCAATTCAACGTCTTTGTGGTTGGTGTGTGTCACCTGACGTTTGAAAAGACGGTGATATTGCTCTCCGATTAGGACGTTGGTATTCCAGATAGTGGCGTATTGCCTGCAGTAATCGTGATAATGCACTGCAACGTGGATATTTGGTCGATTCAGCCACCCCCCGAGCACGTTAGCTGACGCCTTTGGTGGCTGAGCACCCCCTAATTGGCTCCCAGGCTCAGAGATATCGTCGTCTTCGTTGATGGGTGCTGGAGAGGCACCTGAGGAGGAGGCACGTGATGCCACACCACCTCTGCCCCGCGTACCTGCGCTAATCGCGCAATTGATCAGCCTAAGAGACAGAGATCGGCAAATTAGCGTTGAAGAGCTCATATTCTGCACGTTATCAGCGCTCAAGCAGTGCTTGGTAATCAGGGTGTAGCTCGATGCTAACTGGCTATAGACCCTAGTCACGATATCGCACTCTTTTAGGCGCAAATCAGGACTCAATTCTGCATCATACTCTGCTCTGATAGCACGTAATAGGGCAGGTTGGAGGCGTTGATTTGTCAGCCAGGTACGCAAAACCATCGCCGTTATGACACAAGCCCTGCTTTGCTCGCTCAAATCCCAGGAATTGCGATGACGTAGGGGGTTTTGCACCCTGCACCAGCCTGGTGGTAGGGCTTGCTTCCGGAAGACGGAGGCGTATGCCTCACGTTGATTGGGCAACAGGAGATTGTCGATCAAAAGATCCTGAAGTAAACGCCCTATTCCGGACATCTCGGCATGGGGGGGGTCAGGCGGAAAGCTCCTACACACGTCAATTGCGGGAGCTAATGACGTCAAAACAGGGGAGGGCAGCTCGTTGATACCCAGCGCTCGGAGATGCGCTTTGCGCCTAGTAGGCGGCATATCTGACGCTTTAGTCCTAATATCTAGCGTCACGTGGTGATATCTGCCTCTTTTGGTGATATCGTAGTCCAAATTGCCGTATTCTTTTGATGGTATTAGGCAGCTTCTGCACCCGAAAGCAGCGTTTTGGCGCAGGAAGCCAGCGCATTCGTTTTGCTGAGGCATATCACCTAGATACCCTAGCGCAAATGACGACACAAACGCCTCCACTAGCGCCTCCGATTCGCCATACGGAATCTGCATTATTACCCCGGATTCGAGCTTTTTGGAGGGCGTTTCCAGGCACCCTAAAACGTCGCGCAAATCGCTACCGTGTGGTCCAAGCGTCAGGGGAAAGACATTAACGAGCCTGGTACGCTCTCTGATTGGTAGGTTAGACGGTATCATATATACCCCTGATGCGCATCAGTCAGTACGGTAAATCACAAAGGGGGGGGTATACGCCATACACCCACCTGTCAGCGATCTGTACATATTGCGATATAAGCCAAAACCGTCGATAAACGTCATCTGGGGCATGCATCTGATTGGCCGTTGCCCTGCACGTGATACAAAATCACGTTCAAGCACCTGCCTACCGTACGCCTTGATTTCGAGCTCTGCCCTGACTGGGTGGGTAAGACGTACTGCCCTAATCGAGCGTTTTGATAGGTTGATTACCCTGCGTATATTGATTAATGCGGTAGGGTTGAAGGCTTGGTTTGGAGGCGGAGGTGGGGGCATACCGTGATTTGGTGCCTGGCGTTGATTTGGTGCCTGGGCTTGATTCACCCGCATACCAGCGTTTTGACGTGCTGCCTGACGTGCTAACCTAGCACCCTCTCTAGCAGCCTCTTGACTGCCGAGCAATTCAGCCTCTTCAGCGAGGTCTCTGTCGTCACGGAAATCGCGATCAAATGTGACGTTTTCACCTAATCTAGCGAATATCTGATTGGCTGATATCAACCTGATGTCCTCGATTAGGAAGCACTCTCCAGGGTGGGGTGGTGGGTGCGTCACCAAAGGCTTGATATCGTCAGCCAAATCGACGTATCCCATGACGGGCTCTAAATATACGACGATATTGGGTGTGGTAGGCGCACCGGTGGTAGGTGCACCGGCGGTAGGTGCACCGGCGGTAGGTGCGGTACGCATGTCTTGGTAAATGCATCGTACACGCCCAGCATGCAGCATATTGGACTCTCGATACGTGACAAAATCAGAAGGAAATATGGGAGAGCCTGTTGATTAGTCAGTCTTGATTTGCTTAGAATTGGGTGCAATTTAGGAGGGTGTAAGACCGTCAGGATATCGAGCAAATACACCACTGCACGTGCGAATAGACTCCGCCCAAGCCTCTCCGTGCCACAATTCTGACGCCTCCTCCACCAATTGCGCCATACCAAAATGCATGTGCTGCCTCATCTTAGAGCGTAATATCGTCTGTGTCAGCTCGATTGGGTCAAAAAAATAGGCTTTACCAGCCCCTGATTGACCCGTTGGCATCTTATCTAATCTGAGATCGATCTTGCACTCGTAGATTGGCGGTGCGGGTATCTGTGCCTGGTAATGGTTTTGGAGGGTGTCGAGCGTATTTGGGAGGTGTTTCCAAACATCCGGGTTGTCACGTGCTAGGTGTATTACCTCGAGCAAAGCAGCGTAATCTGGGCGACTAATATTAACCCTATCACACCAAACAGCAAAAGCAAAAAGAAACGGGCTCATTGGGTGCTTTGAAGTAGGAGGTTTCCAAGCAATCGTCGGTTCAGGCACCGTTTCTGCATCTCCGGGTGCCTCCGCCTCCTCCGCCTCCTGCAAAACGGGTGCTTCTGCCTCCTCTATATCGGCGTTTTGCTCTGCCAATTGCTCGGTCCAAACGGTGTTTCCTTCCAAGATATCAGGGCGTCCTTCGTCATCAGATACCACCGGATATTCGTCATTATCAGGCTCAGAATCGGGCTCTAAATCTGCCTTAGATTGATGCTCAGATTGATGCTCGTGCTCAGCAGGAGGCTCGTCTTCGTCGTCCTTATCGGCATCTGGGGTGCAAAGGCGCTCCCCGTCACGTTTGCGCTTGCCTAACGCGTGTATAGCCCTACCAGGTAATGCTAGGAATCGATCGAGATCAAGGCCCCTATCTGGCATACTGACGAAGATTGGCGATGGTCTGGTAGGTTAGCGATGGTCTGGTAGAGTAGCGATGGTTTAGTAGACTGGCGAGGTGTGGTGTGATATCTTCGTGGAGGTTGATGCTGGTATGTTGACGTCACCACACCCTACTTCCGCCTCATTGAGCCTCATATGGCCCGTGCACCTGCCTAATACGGCTAGCGCGGTCTTAAGATAGTCCTCAACCATCGTCAACCTCCACGAAGATATCACACCACACCTCGCCAGTCTACTAAACCATCGCTACTCTACCAGACCATCGCTAACCTACCAGACCATCGCCAATCTTCGTCAGTATGCCAGATATGGCAGATTCGGACGCCAGCGCTGAGAAGGAAGTGCGTATCTTCGAGATCAACGTGAGTACGGTGCAGGGGGTGGTAGGTGCGCTGATACTGACTGACTGACTGACGTGACGCCACCAGACATATAAAAATCGATGCCGTTGGGAGGTGGAGGATGTGCAGATGGCGTACTGCTTCTTCAGCGGCTTGCTGGCCGGTGAGCGCCCTAGCCAATGCACCGGGCTTCTGTCGGAGGTAAAGAAGGCCTTGTTGAGCTCTTCCAAATTCAAGCGAGGCGCCAATCAGGAAGAGCTCAGCCCTGCGAATGATTACCTCTTTGGGGTGCTGAAGAGCCTTGCAAGGCGTACGTATCTGAGGCAATTCGTGATCGATGACATCGATTCTCTAATCTCAACGGCTTTTGGTGCCGATTTCGTCAAGGACACCGCCATATTCAATCTAGTACGCAATCGTACCCAAAACGGTATCCACCAGATTAAGCATCAGACGATTGAACGTTTTTTTTGAGCACGTGCAGCAGACTCTTACCCAGGAGGGTGTATTATTCCGATCTGCACGTAATCTCGACGCAATCAGAGACTACTACGCCAAAGCCTACAATATCGAGAATCTGATGTCGATATTCTACTGGGTGGAGCCCCTTGTCGATATCGCAAAGTCATCCAAAAGAGTGCAATTCATGATGAAGGGTAATACCCCCCCCTTTGGGCGATCAGTCAATCGCTAATCCGTGCAGTAATCTACGTCAACATGTGCACGTTTACCAAGATGCATATCCACAAACCCTATTCTGCAGATTACAATAGGACGGCGTTGAATCGATTCTGGGACCGATTGGGTGCATCGGCGGCGTGGGAGGGCATTGATTTGTCGCATTATCACGTCAAACCACCCAAAACCAAGCGCAAAAAGGTCAGGCACGGCAGGGACGAGGACTTTGACGATATTGATGACGACACGCGCTTCTTTATGCTTCCCGATGACGATTCCGGAGGTGCACCTCAACCCGAGGATACAGGCCAAGTTTTGGTAGATTTGGCGGGCAACGACGACGATTGGGGAGAGGAGGTGCGGTCAGAAGTGGCGCACGAAGAAACCCCTGCACGTGCGCAGGCTCCCCGTACTTCTAATATTGCGCCAACTCCCGGTATTGCGCAGACTCCTCGTGCGCCTACCCCTGCACAAGATGTGCCTGCTGCACCAGCTACGCCTGCTGCACCAATTCCGCCTGCTGTACCAATTACACCTCCTAGGGCGGTTGCGCCTAGTATTGCGCCTACCACGCCTACCACCACCACCACCACCACCACCACCACCACGACGATTTCGCCTGGTGTTGCTCAAGCCGCAACCCTTGCACCTGCCCCTGCGCCTGGAAGGAATACTAGAGCTCGAGGCAAAAAAGCCCCACGTGGTGCTGTTTGAGCTCGGAATCCACACCCTAATACCCACCAAGATGCACGATATAATTACCCCTGGTGCCCCTGATGCCCCTGATGTCTCAAAAGGCGTTGATTTTGTTACGATTCATGACGTTACGACCCTAGTCTAGGAAAAAGCAATAAAATGTGATTAAAAAGCAATATTCTGTCGTGATACCCCCTAATCTAGTGTACGGGCCCAATTATAAGCCGAAATGTCGTTTTTTTCGATTTTTTGAGCCCTATCGCCAAGAAACGATATTTTTGAACCCTAACCCTACTACTAAACCTACTTTAGTAGTAGGGTTAGGGTTCAAAAATATCGTTTCTTGGCGATACGCGCGATACGATTTCACGTAATATCACCGTTTTGATGCGCAGTACAGCCAAAACACGACTTTTACCTGAGCGCTTGGGTATCTAGATACATATGCACCTCCTAATCGGTGCCTGGAGTCTAATTGTACGTAGATTACATGCCTAATTATCGCGCAATACAGCCCTATATCCCAAAAAGACGTACTACAGCTATGTGCGCGGATCCTAATCTAGATCGCGGAGCAGGCACCAAACTTCCACATGTTTGGCCTGAAAGCGATGCCCGCTCCATCCACAAATTTAATCTCTCGACGATGCCGCCACGTTCGTACGAAGCGTACTATCACGGGGACTGTAGGCAATAGACTGTGGTGCCAAGGAATACAACCTAGGTAGTGACGTAGACGTGAACGTAGATGTAAAGGTATGCTTTGACTATGGACTATGGGGTGGCTCTGCCTGGTATGATAAACCGGTTGGAGCCCTATGACGTAGTGCGGACAGAGAATAGTATTCGTGGAATAAATACAGAGGTTGCGTAAGGAAGAAAGAGAAGAAGGAAAACAGACAAAAGCACGAGACAACGCCCCCTTATATATCCATCCATAATCCAACAATGACTAATACCTTCGCGTAACAGAAACCCAAAGAACATAACAGAAATCCCCATTACAAATCCTAATTCCACTGCACGATACCTCCTTCCCTCATCCCAGTTCATCACCTAGCCGAAATACATAGCTGCCATTACAGACCACGCCCCCCTCTAAGGCCTACCTCCTGGTAGGCTTAGGCTTCTCTGGATAACGCTTATGGAATCGTCTAATAATTTCAGGTGAATGTTCAAGGTCCGATAGCGGTTGCCAGGAGGCTTCGTCATATCCCATATATCGTACCAAATATTCAAATCTTCCTCTTCGTTTCCTCGAATCCAAAATATCTTCGACTTCCCATTCTTCCTCCCCTTCGATTTCAACCGGAGGTGGTGGTAATCGTTGTTGTCCTGGTAAAGGATCATTCGCTTCAGGTGACAATAACGAAACATGAAATACTGGATGAATTTTCATCGACCGGGGAAGTTCCAACTCGTAAGCATAGGGATTAACGATTCGTTTAACGCTATAAGGTCCAATACGTTTCCAATCGAATTTCTTAGAGGGTCGCTTTGTTAGAATATGACGGGTCGAGAGAAAAACCTTATCTCCTAAATAATATCGAGGAGCTGGAGTTCGATTCCTATTGGCTGATTCTTCTTGTATCCTTTGCGCCCGGAACATTTCTTCTCTTAGGAAGTCCACCACATCCTTCATTTCCCTTGCAATACGGTTCGCTTGATCCTCCGCCGTCGTTCGACCATGTTCCAAAGGCCCAAATGTTATCCTAGGATTCCTTCCCGAATTAGCATAAAAGGGGGAAACTTTTGTTGTTTCGGAAACGTGGTTGTTGGTTGCAAATTCAGCCATCGGTAGCCATCGGACCCAGTCATCTTGTTGATAGGAAACATAGCTTCGGAGGTATTGTTCCATTATGGCATTAATTCTTTCTGTCTGTCCATCTGTTTGGGGGTGGAATGCAGTAGAGAACTTTGGCGAGATTTCCAATCGATCACAAAGGGACCTCCAGAATTCCGCGACGAACTGTGTTCCTCGATCGGATACCATAGTGTCGGGTAATCCATGTAGCTTCCAGACGTTATCAATATATAGCCTTGCTACTTCCTGTGAGTCCGCCTCCTTTGTCGTTGGTATCAGATGCCGCATTTTGGTTAGTCTATCCACCACGACCAAAATCGCATTATACCCATCACTCTCAGGAAGATCAGTTACAAAGTCCATCGAGACATCTGTCCAGGGTCCATCGGGAATTGGCATGGGGCGAAGTACTCCATAAGGTGCATTGTGTGATGCCTTGCTACGGGTGCACACATTGCAATTCCTAATATACTGATCGACAAACTTCCGCATCTGTGGCCAGTAATATTCTCGACTTAGGAGCTCCAGAGTCTTCGCTCTACCCGGATGTCCTGCAGATGGTTTGTCATGATATTCTTTTAAAAGCCTTAGTCGAAGGTCATCATCGTCTGGTACATATAGCATGCCTCGATAAAGCAGCCGACCGTTGTTATCTTCCATACATTCGGCAAGTGAGATTTTGTTTGAGTGGCGTATGCCATTCCGAAGCATATTGAGAACCTTGTTTGGGAAACTATCCACTTGGTAAGCTTTTGAAAATAACTCCTCTACAGTGGACGCTCCTTCAGCGGATTCATTTGACAAAGAACCCGCGAACAAACTTAGCTTGGTATCCAAATTTTTTCGCTTCAGAATCACTTGACTCTGATGCGTTAACCGTTCATCCCCCTCTTTAGGTAGGTCACCTGACCTCCTAGTCAATGCATCTGGTTTTGTTCCTTGTTTTCCTGGCCGAAATTGTATAACGAAATCGAAGCGTGAAAGAAATTCGGACCAACGGGCTTGTCGACGATTTAACAATTTTGTTGTCATAAAATACTCAAGATTCCGATGGTCGCTAAGAACTTCAATTGGAAATTGAGCTCCCTCCAGATGATGTCGCCATTCTTCAAAACATCGTATAATTGCTAAAAGCTCTTTGTCATAGATTTCGTAGTTGCATTCTGCGGGAGAGTGTTTCTTGGAAAAGAAAGCAACTGGATGTAGAATTCCTTCGTTGTCACGTTGAGATAGGATTCCTGCTGAAACATAGTCGGATGCATCAGTTTCTATCACAATTTTTCGATCTGGATTAAAATGAGCTAGTATCGGTGCCGTTGTAAACATCTTTTTCAAAGTCTGAAATGCTTCCTCCCTTTCATCCGTCCATTCAAATTTAACGTTTTTCTTTGTCAAGGCTGTAAGCGGGGCAACAATTTTCGAATATCCCAAAATAAACCGTCGGTAGAAATTTGCAAATCCTAGGAATACTTGAACATCACGAAGGTTTGTCGGTGTAGTCCATTCCAAAACATCGATAACTTTCTTTGGATCCATTCTATTCCCATTCGGAGTAAGGATTAAACCAAGATATTTTGTTTCCTGAACCATAAATTCACATTTTTCAGGTTTAAGGTGAACATGATTTTCATCAAGTACCTTTAGAACCTTTTGAATATGTTCTTTATGTTCTGATAGGGTCTCGGAATAGATAAGGATATCGTCTAAGTATGCTGTTACGAATTGATCGAGGTAGGGACGTAGAATATCATTGATCCAATGCTGAAATGTAGCAGGGGCATTAGCTAATCCAAACGGCATTACTGTATATTCGAAATGTCCATATCGAGTCCGGAATGCTGTTTTCCATTCATCTCCCTCCGCTATCCTGATTTGATTATATCCCCATCGTAAATCCAACTTAGTATAGTATCGTGCTCTTGATAACTTAGCCAGGGTTTCTTTCAACAATGGTAATGGATATCGATTTTTGATTGTAATCGCATTTAGACCTCGATAGTCAACACAAAGTCGAAGGGTTCCATCGCTTTTCTTCACAAACAGTATGGGTGCTCCCGCTGGTGATTCACTGGCTCGAATAAATCCTTTGGGTAAATTTTCATCAAGATATTCTCGTAGTGCTTTTAACTCAATTTGAGATAATCCATATATAGGTCCATATGGTGGTCGTTTGCCTTCCTCTAATACTATCTCGATGTCATGGGATGGTCGATGTGGTGGGAGAATTGAAGCATCATATTCTTTGAACATATGAAGACGATGGTGAAATTCTTTCGGTACTAATTGTTCGATATCGATAGTGGATTTCTCGGTTGCTGAAACGATGACTGTATGGTGTTCCGGTAAGGGGATCGAGATACCATGAACAATAACTGCAGTTCCACTGAGTGAACAGTGTTGACAACAGCTTCGAGAGTCAAAAACAAGTAGATTTTCTTTTGGTCGAATCGTAACATCATGTCGTCGCATCCAAGGTGTCCCCATCACAATCGGATAGTGTCCTAACTTCGTTACAAAACATGGCGCCGTCTCCCGATGACCATGAATGTCTAGCGAGACATCGACAATATGGGTAATTTTTCCTGACTTAATAGGCCTTCCGTCTATAACGTCTACATGGCGAGGTATTTTAAGGGGGGTCATTGTAAGATTGTTGTGGCGTGCAAAGGATTCATCAATGAAAGCATATCCTGATGCTCCGGTATCAATAAGGGCGTAGGTAGGTATAAACGAATTTTTATTCTGTGAAATCGAACAAGTTACTACAAGTTGATTTCCATCCATTTCCTCCTCTGATACCGAAAAACCAGAAATACACATCTTAGAAAAATCCTTAAACGGTCCCTGGGCTAAGCCACTTAGTGCAGGGACAAATCTTTTGCCGACTCATTATCGCTTCCATCATTTTCTTCCACTGTCAACGCCGCTCCTCTCATCACAGGCCTCCTTGGTTGATTTCCAGTTGCCCTCGCTTGGGGGCAATTTCTAACCATATGTCCGACACCTCCGCAATAGAAACATCGGCCCTCAGCTAATCGGGCGTTTCTTTCGGCAGGGGTAGGGCGACGACGTCCTCCAGACAGGTCCATGGGTACCTCACCTCCAGGACGGAATGAGGGGTGATTCTCAGTAGCAGGTGGGTTGGCAGCAGGGGCAGCAGGACGGGGAGCAGGAACAGGATTTGTTGGTGGAGGGCGCGGAGCCGGGGTCGCAG